TGTGAGCTGAGACTACCTCAGAATGAACTAGAACCAATTCGACTGTAAAATTGAACACTGAATGAAATATTCCTCGGTCTGGAAAGAAAACACAAGTACAGGACAGGAGAGAAAATATAGGGTGAATATAAGTGTCTGTTCCGAGTAGGAGGGATGTTTTAAGTGACTGTTCCCAGATGTTTAGAAAATTTATTGATGGGAAATGGGGTGGGGGTGGGGTGTTTCTGAGATTTTTTGTTCTTAGTTTACCAGTCTCCAAGATGCTTAGGACCAGATTCCGTGAAACAAACTGTTTCCATGTGGGTCTTCTTCTGTGGAGAAGGTGTCCTGCTGTTGAATATATTTGCAGGGAGAGAAAATGACATTCTGGTGTCTGCAATTCATCTCATTTGGGCCCTAAATCAGCCCAAATAGTAGTTTGGATATTACACTCATATATTTTAATAAGTATTTATTAGTACTAATATAGTCAAAGGAGCCTTCATTACATACGTATTTTTGACTGAATGCAAGATGAAAATGTGATGTACTTTATTTGCAGCGGAGATCCCACAGTTTACTGGAAAGTCCTGTCCTTCCTTTTTGCTCTTGAAGAAATTAACCAAAACCCCCAAATCTTACTCAACGTCACGCTGGGCTACAATATTCATGACAGCTATTCTACTGAAAAGGTGACTTCAGAGGCTTTGCTCAACCTGGTTTCAAAAGGAGAGGCAGATGTTCCAAATTATAGCTGTGGAAAGGAGAGAAACACACTGGTGGTCCTTGAAGAAGCTGATGCAGACATGTCCATCTATATTTCGGGTTTGCTGAACCTCTACAAGATCCCACAGGTAGATCTGTCCAGGCATACTTGCATGGCCATTTGAAAGGAGTTATGTTCAGGGGTGGGCTTCAAAAATCTCAGCAATGGGTTCTCTGCCCGGTTGCTGGGTGGGTGTGGCCATGGTGGGTGTGGCCTAGTCGGCCTCCTGCACCATAGCATGGGGGAATGTTTTTCACCCTCCCCAGGCTCCGGAGGCTTTTCTGGAACCTCCAGGAGGGCAAAAATGGCCTCCCCCGGCCCTCCGGAGGCCGAAAACGGCCCATTTCCAGCCTTCCGGAAATTCTGGGAGGCCCATTTTTCACCCTCCCAGAACCTCCATGCGAGCCCTGTACTTACCTGGCATCCAAAATGGGTCGTGTGGAGACTCCTGGGAAGGGCAGGGTGGGGTGAGTGGGGCCAGACAGGCATGGGATTTGTGGGTTTGCCGAACTGGGCAGAATCCTAGCTAGAGGATCACTCAAACCTGTGCGAACCCACAGCAGCTCACCCTTGGTTAAGTTCCCCATGACCACAATGGGAACCAAGAATCTGAATTAAATGTGAATCCAATTAGATTCTTTGGTCAGGGCTCTTATTTATATTGGAGGATCCTATGGACTATTTGAGGAAGAAAATTTTTAGGGGGTAGTGGTGGAAACTTCAATGCCTGAGTAGGAGAGTCTGCCCACTTTGGATAATCTCTCAGAATGACTAAAAATAACAAAGTGGGAATAAATGTGAATATTTCACTTCTTTTCAGGTCAGTTATACTTTTCCTTCCAAGGTTTTGAGAGACAGAAAGCGATTCCCTTTTTTTTACTCAACTTTTCCTACAGAAACAAATGAATATCTAGGAATCATCAAAATCCTCCAGTATTTCAAATGGACATTGGTGGGCCTTATTGGTACAGAGAGTGAAAATGGAGATAAATTTATGAGTCTCTTCACACTTCTACTCAACCAGAATGGCATTTGTGTTGTTTTCTCAATATCGGTTTCATCACATGTCATTTTAAAGAAAAAGGATGTTGGCCTTTTCGACAAATGGAACCAAGTCAAAATCTTGCTTTACTATGCTGAGGTTTCAACCTTCTCACATGGATTGTCATCCACACACTTTTTACTGGCCAACTTCGGGACATCTGTTGTAGGGAAACTTTGGATTACAACAGCTTTCTGGGATCTCACTTTGGAGTTGTCAAGTCATGTAGCTTTCACTTGGCACAGCCATCGTATTTTTTCTTTACTTAGTCACACAAATAAAAAAATAAATTATGATCGTCTCTCCCAACTTCAGTCTTTTACTGAGAGATTTATAAATCAATTATTTTCATGTTCCTATTCAAAGCATGCCCTGTCCGTGAAAGGCTGGACAAGGTGCACAGAGAGAGGAAAACCAAACCGTATGTCTCAAGAGTTGAGGGAAAGAATTCTATCCCAGAATGGCTACCATATTTACCACACCATCTGGACGGTTGCACATGCTTTACATGCGGCCTACTCTCTCAGTTTCCAGAGAAGGGGCACAAAAAATAGAAAAGGGTCAGGAGTTTTAAGAGTGCAGCCTTGGCAGGTACTTAGTTTTTGACCTTTTATTGAGTTTTTCATGAATAAATTGTTATCTTTAATTTTGTTTTCATCTGATGAGCACTTTTACAATGCTCAGAATGATGCTTGATTGTAGCGGCTTCTATATCTTGCAACTAACTAAAGAACATACAATATTTAGTCTCTGATTGGACTGCAAATGGAATGAGGAGGTACAATCATATCCTTTAATCAGTGGTGGGTTCCTCCCGGTTCGGTCCGGTTCGGCCGAGCCGGTAGCGGTGACAATATGACGTCACTGAACCGGTTCTCCCCCCCTGCCCTCCCACCCCCCACCCACATTATTCTTACCTTTTATTTGGTCCCACCCCCAATCTGTTGCTGCCTCCTGAGTCCCAGCTGATGACTAGAGGGAAAAAAACTGTTTAAACTCTTGCCACGGGGCTTCAAAGGGCCGTCCTACAGCTGATCAGTGTTAAAAGCAAACAAATGAGTCAGGTCGTAAGTGCGAGGACTGGTCGTAAGTGCGAGGACCTTCCAGAAATGACTCTGACCAGCTAGCCACGCCCACCTAGTCACATGACCTCCAAGCCACACCCACAAAATAAGCCACGCCCACAGAACCAGTAGTAAAAAAATTTAGAACTCACCCCTGCCTTTAATGAACCCCATCTGGATAAATCTTCCTTTTTGTACCCTACCTCAGATGATGCAGCCTAGAGGGGTTCAAATAACAGTTTTGTCGTTGAACCTGTTGCCAGGTATCTGGGTGGCTCATTTGAAAATTAGAGCATTTGTTCTCTTGAATATTGCTGTTTCTTTTAATTCTCCTTCCGACTTCTTTGAATCATAATGATCTTTCTGCACATTACATTAAAACTCTTGGCGTGAGAGGGAGGGACTGGCCCAGTCATGCTCCATGGCTGAGCAGGGAACAAGTAACTAGCTTTCCCAATTCCTAGTCCAACACCTTCTTCATTAGTTCCTAATTTGCAGCTACGTTAGCACAGAAATGTTTTTTATTTTTATTTTTTTATTTGTCAAACATGTACGAGATAACAGGTACAAGTATAAACAGGAATATGAACACAGGAAATGGATACAAATAAATGGGGACAGTAGGACAGGGATGGTAGGCATGTTGGTGCGCTTATGCACGCCATTTACAGACCTCTTAGGAATGGTGTGAGGTCAACAGTAAACAGTTTAAGGTTAAAGTTTTGGGGGTTTGAGGATGTAACAACAGAATCAGGTAGTGCATTCCAGGCATCGGCCACTCTGTTGCTGAAGTCGTATTTTCTGCAATTGGGTTTGGAGTGGTTTATCTCGAGTCTGTATCTATTGTGTGCTCGTGTATATTGTGGTTGAAGCTGGTCATTGACACGTAGGATATTGTAGCAGATAATTTTGTATACTATGCTTAAATCAGACCATAGGCGGCGTAGTTCTAAGTTGTCTAAGCCCAAAATTTCAAGCCTGGTGGCATAAGGGATTCTGTTGTGAGCAGAGGAGTGGAGGACTTCTCTTGTGAAATACCTCTGGACTTGCTCAATTGTATTAATGTCCGATATACAGTGCGGATTCCAGGCAGACACCATTCCATAAGATTCTCTTCACTGAATCCTCAGTTCCTGAGTGAGACAGTCTTATGTTCAGCTGTATTTGTGCTAAAGTAGATGTCCCTCCTTCATTCTGAAACTATCCAAGGGTACCTTCCAGGTTTCTCAGATCTATTAGATTGTCTCCCTCATGATCCCGAAAGGAAGTCAGATAGTTGGGAAGTGGCTGAGAAGAGAGACAAGTATCAGACCATCATTGTTTGGTTCCAAAGCAAGGTTGAATGGAGAGCTTCCTAGCCAGGGGTGAAATTCAAAAATTTTCCCTACTGGTTCTGTGGGCGTGGCTTTGTGGGAGTGGCTTGGTGGTGAGGTCATGTGACTGGGTGGGCGTGACCAATTTGACATCACTCACGTCACGGGGCACCTCACCCGGCCCCTCCCCTCCTAGCCACTTCTTGTTGCGAATGTCAGGAAAACGGGGAGGGGGATTTTCCTGCCTACCATCCTTTCCTCAGTCTGTGCTGAGCTTCAGGAATGGATAAGAGGCAGGAAAGCCTTGGTAGTACTAGGGTTTAAGGCACCCTGTTATTAAGCTGCTTAAGACCAGCTGCCTGCAATTACTGCAGGGTTCGAATCTCTCCAAGGCTCAAGGTTGACTCAGCCTTCCATCCTTTCTAAGGTAGGTGAAATGAGGACCCAGTTTGTGGGGGCAATAAGCTGACTTTGTATAAATATACAAAAGGATGAAGGCTATTGCTGAGCACATTGTAAGCCGCCCTGAGTCTTCGGAGAAGGGCGGCATATAAATCAAATTAAAAAAAAAAAAAATCCCCTCTCCATTTTCCTGCCTTTCATGAAAACGGCTCCATTCCGAGCCTTTAGTGTTGCAATCCTGGGATACGCTGAAGGCTCGGAATGGCTCTGCTTCAGCACAGAATGACTTTTGCCTGTCTCTTTCTGGGTACGGTACTTCTGCCTGTTGGGCTACTTCCTGAAGCTGGCAGCTCTGCAGCCAGCTGCTTTGCTTTTTCCCTTTTTCCTCATGGGAGGCTTGCGTGGTGGTACCAGCAGAATGTGGAGGCAGAGGCATGGGTGAGGCAGAGGCGATCTCAATGCACCAGCCCCTTTACCCCACTGTCTCTTGGCTTGCCAGCAGCTGCACCGAACAGTTCCTGAGCATGGGGTGTCTGGATTGCCTGCCTCCCCCATGCTGGTGTTGGTGCCGCTGCACAAGCCTCCCACGAACCTCCAAAAAAGAGGGAAAAAGCAAAGCAGCTGGCTGCGGAGCTGCCGGCTTCGGGGAAGCAGCCCAACAAGCAGAAGCGCTGCACACAGAAAGAGAAGGGCAAAAGAGGTATTTGCGCTGCCCCAAGGGGCCAGCGGGTTGCAGAGACAAAGGCGAGCTCCAGGGTGGCAGTGGCGCTCTGGGAGGGAGAGCAGATGTCTTGGGGATGCACATGTGGTGCTGCTGCCACTGCCACTCTCAGCCCCAGTGCAGTGGCTGCATCTCCCCCAAGGGCCGGCTGCCCACCCACTGGCCGGCCCAACCTAGAAGCAGCATGTCTCCCATCAAGAGCTGGATGTGGGACCCAACCTCGGAAGGCAAGCGGGCATGGGGGACCGCTGGGAAGGCTGCGTGGAAGGCAGGCAGCATGGCAGGGCCGCAGGGAATGGAGTAGGCTGCTAGCTCCCTTCCCTGCGGCCAGGCGACCCCGACATGCTTGCTTGCCTGCCTTCCACGTAGCCTTCCTGTCAGTCTACAAGGCCATCTTGCGAAGGCAGGCAAGCACCTGGGCGAACGGGTGGGCAGGTGTGGGGCCAACCAGGAGTGGTTTTTACCGGTTCGGTGAACCATTTAAAATTGCCGCTACCGATACATGCGATCATGTCTGATCCGATTGAATTCCACCCCTGTTCCTAGCTCAGCTCTGAGGAATGACTCTTAGCCTCCCTAACCAAGTCCTGAATTAAAGGACAGTCAGCTGTGGAATCAGGAGACTTCGGACATCAGTCTTGCTTTCCTAATTTCATCAAATGATTCATTTCTCTTTGCTATTGTAGCTTCACCCTTTCCTGTACATCTCCCAATATTGCAATAATTCCATGGAGGGAGTCTATTTGGATGAGAAAGGGGACCTGGCAGTTGACTTTGACATCGTGTTCTGGGAGACGTTTCCCAATTGGACTTGTAACAAAGTGAAGGTTGGGAGCTTGGAAAGAACAGGACTCTCAGAAGATAAATTCAAGCTCACAGTGGACCAGACTGCAATTAGAAGAGCCGTGCAGGTCAATGAGATGGGGAAGATAATTTCTTTCGGTTCCACATTTTGTATGTCTTGTTTAAAATCTGTGGCTTTTTCCCAACCGAACCTCCCAATTGTGTGTCACAAGGGCACCTTCAGCCATAAAATTCAGAATTCCTTTTTGGCTTATGTTTATTATAGCAACGGCAGAACCAGAAATGTTCTATATGGCTCATTGGAGATTATTGGGACATCCCTACCCCAAAGGATTTATTGTGTGCCATGGGGCAGAATATTTTATTTTATTTTATTTATTTTATTTCCAATTTATATACCGCCCTTCTCCCTGAGGACTCAGGGCGGTGTACAGCCAGAATAAGAACATAAAATACAAATATTAAAAAACAGTTAAATATATATATATAAATTTGGCCCAGAAGTTAAGAAATCACAAACCGATTAAAACAATTTAAAAAATTTCTTCTCAAGCCAGCCCAGCTTGCTGGAAAAAATGGGTTTTAAGGGCACGGCGGAAGGCACTGAGGTCATGGATTCTCCTTATCTCTGGGGGGAGCTGATTCCAGAGGGTAGGTGCCCCCACAGAGAAGGCCCTCCCCCTGGGGGTCACCAGCCTACATTGTTTGGCTGATGGCACCCTGAGGAGGCCCTCTCTGTGGGAGCGCACGGGTCGATGAGAGGTCGTCGATAGCAACAGGCGGTCTCGCAGATAGCTAGGCCCTATGCCATGGAGTGCTTTAAAGGTGATGATCAACACCTTGAAGCGCACCCGGAAGACCACTGGGAGCCAATGCAGCTCACGCAGGAGCGGTGCTACATGGGAGCGCCATGTTGCTCCCATCACTACCCACGCTGCTGCATTCTGGACCAGCTGGAGCCTCTGGGTGCTCTTCAAGGGGAGCCCCATGTAGAGAGCATTGCAGTAGTCAAGGCGAGAGGTGACGAGGGCATGAGTGACTGTGCACAGGGAATCCCGATCAAGAAAGGGCCGCAACTGGCGAATCAGGCGAACCTGACAAAAGGTCCCCCTGGTTACAGCCGTCAGATGTTCCTCCAAGGACAGCTGCATATCCAGGAGGACTCCCAGATTGCGAGCCCTTTCAGTGGGGGCCAAAGACTCGCCCCCAATAGTCAGTGATGGAGTCAACTGACTATATCGGGATGCCGGGAGCCACAGCCACTCTGTCTTGGAAGGGTTGAGCTTGAGCCTGTTCCTCCCCATCCAGATCCAGATCCAGAATAGGGAGGACTCAGTGAAAAGGCATAAAGCCCTTGACCTTCATTTGGGTTTGTTATCAGAACCAAGATCCCACTCAAGAAAAAAAGAAAACAAAACCCTTTGTGGAGGATAGAAACCATCTCCAATGGAAATTATAGCCTTTCAGCTTTCTCAAAGAACTGTTTTATTGAGTACATCATGTCGGCACGAATGAAAACGAAACCAGCTCTAAATATTACCCGCGGTTTCTGTATAATTAAAGAATAGATAATGCTCCCCCCTCATTGTCACAGGTCACATTGTCCAATTAAGTGTTCTCGCGCCTCTCTAGCGACTTTGGCAACTCCCCTCAGTCTCTGGCCAACACCTGTTGCGATGACCTTTGTTCCCATGGAATAGTCTGTTGTTGACGTCTGGTCTGACATTCCAGAGCTCCCTCCTCCCACCAAAGTGTGGCAGAAAACATTTCTCAGAAAGCTGAGAAATGGAAAGATGGCTATGGCAGGCCTGATCCATTTTGAAGCTGACACTATAAAGCCAACACAATTCTAGGCTGCATAAACAGAGGGATAGAATCAAGATCACATGAAGTGTTAATACCACTTTATAATGCCTTGGTAAGGCCACACATCCAGTTTTGGTCACCAGGATGTAAAAAAGATGTGGACACTCTAGAAAGAGTGCAGAGAAGAGCAACAAAGATGATTAGGGGACTGGAGGCTAAAATATATGAAGAACGATTTCAGGAACTGGGCATGACTAGTTTAATGAAAAGAAGGACTAGGGGAGACATGAGAGCAGTGTTCCAATATCTCAGGGGCTGCCACAAAGAAGAGGGAGGCAAACTATTCTCCAAAGCACCTGAGGGTAGGACGAAGCAATGGGTGGAAACTAATTAAGGAGAGAAGCAACTTAGAACTAAGGAGAACTTTTCTGACAGTTAGAACAATTAATCAGTGGAACAATTTGCCTCCAGAAGTTGCGAATGCTCCAACACTGGAAGTTTTTAAGAAAATGTTGGATAACCATTTGTCTGAAGTGGTGTAGGGTTTCTTGCCTAAGCAGGGGGTTGGACTAGAAGACCTCCAAGGTCCCTTCCAACTCTTCTCTTCTCTTCTCTTCTCTTCTCTTCTCTTCTCTTCTCTTCTCTTCTCTTCTCTTCTCTTCTCTTCCCTTCCCTTCCCTTCCCTTCCCTTCCCTTCCCTTCCCTTCCCTTCCCTTCCCTTCCCTTCCCTTCCCTTCCATTCTATTCTATTCTATTCTATTCTATTCTATTCTATTCTATTCTATTCTATTCTATTCTATTCTATTCTATTCTATTCTATTCTATTCTCTGTTGGGACCATGCAGCTGGCAAGATCAAAGTAACAAGGACTGTGTAGGTTTCAGGAAGCTCTCTTTAATCCAGTCTGAGGTCAACGCAAAATCTTGGAACCCACAAGAGGAATTTCTCAGCCTCATTTCTACTACGTTCACTGTGGTGAAGATATCTGAAATGCTCCCTCTGCACCTGGGCTCAATGCCGTGTTGCAGAGAAGCTTCCAAGATGCTCCCCTGTTTTCTTTGGATTGTGTATCTCTGCTCTCCCTTCCATTCTTTTCCCAGCCTGCCCTTGACCTCTCTCCCTGTCTCTCCTCTGAGATGAACCCTCTGGAAGTTAGAGAGCGTATAAAGCTGCCAACAGAAAAGCAACCTTGTCCTTGGCGGGAAAGGATGGGAGCAACATGAGAGCAGAGGTCTATTTTCTAGATGTGGGGGGGAGAATGATCAAAAATCCATTTGAGACACCCTGTGGCTGCATCACTGCACTCTCTGCCAGATGCCCACAAGATACTCACAGAGGTTAAACACATTTTTTGCTATCTTTACTTGTGGCTCTTTCGATTTTTTCAGGTTTAGATCCAGCAATTAAAGCTTAGGCCAGTGGTTTGGTTTATTTATTGACTGATTTAATTTTTATGCTTCCCACCTCCCCTACAAGATGACTCTGGATGGCATTGGTTGAGTTTTGGATGACTCTGGATGGCATTGGTTGAGTTTTGGCAAGTTTCACCTATTCCATTGAAGGCTTCTTTTCTCTACCTTTAGCCCCTGCCAACGTCTCGGTGTGTGGATAGTTGCCTGCCTGGATTTGTCAGGCGGCTGGACCCCATGAAGCCAATTTGCTGTTACAATTGTGTTCCTTGCGCAGAAGGGACCGTCTCTACCCAGGAAGGTGGGTGACTCCATAGAGAAAAGCTGTACATGTCTTCTTAGTTTTAATACCCACAAGTATTTCTACCAATTTAATTAGTTTATCTCACACTTTTATTTTTTTTCACAATTTTTTCACAATCATCACAAGGAGATGATTTTCTCCCGCTGAAAGAGAGCTGGTGCAAAGAAACCACCCAACTACAAACAAACAAACAAACAAACAAACAACATACACAAACCCCACATAAAATATAAAAGAGAATAATAAAGTATAAGAAGGAAAACAGAAAAAACGCTGAGGAAATATAAAATACTAGTAGCTGGATACCCGTGCTTCGCTACAAAACTATGTGATCGGGCTTGATAAATTGACAGTTAAAGCTTGAAAATTTATGTAGAATGTGTAACTTCTTAGCATCAGAGCATGTCAATATAAGGCAACTGGCAGTTGGAACAGAGTTCTTTTCAGGTTGGGAGGGTGAGTAGAACGTCTAACTCAGTGGTGAAATGTAAAATTTGTTACTACCGGTTCTGTGGGTGTGGCTTGGTGGGGGGGTGAAATATGACTGAGTGGGCATGGCCAACTTTTTTTTTTTTTACTTTTAAAACCATTTTTTCTACAACCTCTTCGGCTGAAGAGGTTGTAAAAAAAATGCTTTTAAAGTCTCTGATGATCCCAACTGACTTGCCTGATCGGCAGAGGCTTTCTTTTTTTTTTTTAAGCTTCTGACAATCCCAGCTGACTTGCCTGATCGGCAGAGGCTTTTTTTCCTTTTAAAAACATTTTTTCTATAACCTCTTCGGCCAAAGAGGTTCTAGAAAAAATGCTTTTAAAAGCCTCTGATTATCCCAGCTGAGCCGCACGATCATCAGAGGCTTTTTTTTAACTTTTAAAAGCATTTTTTCGGCCAAAGAGGTTGTAGAAAAAAATGCTTTTAAAAATAAAAAAAAGCCTCTGATGATTGCGCGGCTCAGCTGGGCATTGGGGGGAGGGCAGGGATTTTTGCTACCGGTTCTCCGAACCACCCGCCTCCATCGCTACTGGATCAGGCAATCCGGTCCGAACCAGGAGTATTTCACCCCTAGTCTAAGTCCTTAGCATCAGAGAGTGTTAATATAATATTGTATAAGAAATACTAATGATTTAGAAAAATCCTTTCTTAGCGAGACCTATAAGCCAAGAGGAACATACGTGCCAAGTTTCAAGTTTGTAGGCTTTAAAGTTCTGGAGATTTTGCGATGAGTGAGTGGTATTTGGCTTTTATATATATAGATATAAGTATATCATCTCTACAGTAACCATTTTGTTTTTTGTTTTGCTTGAAAGGATCTGACATATGTCATGAATCCACTCTTTAATATCTGGAATAAAGATTCTTTTCCAATGTCTTATAGTCATTCTTTTAGAATAACCCACCCTCGGTGTAAGGAAGTTCCTCAAAAACGGTACAATTCCACATTTTTGGAATGTAATTCAAATAAAGCTAACCTCTTTAACATTGAAAAATTTCCATACCAATGAAGAAGATGGGTGTTATGCTTGTTCTTTGTAGATGCCAAACACTGTGTGAGATGCCCAGAAGATCAGCACCCCAACAATAACCGAGATCAGTGTATTCCTAAGGTGATAACTTTCCTATCCTACTCAGACAATCTGGGCATCATCCTTACTTCCTTCACTCTACTTTTCTCTTTGAGCACCAGCTTTGTTTTAAGCATCTTTCTTAAGCATCTGGAAACTCCAGTAGTTAAAGCCAACAACCGGGACCTGTCTTACCTGCTCCTCATTTCCCTCCTGCTGTCCTTCTTGTCTTCCTTCCTCTTCATTGGCCAGCCAAGGAGAGCCACCTGCCTCTTGAGACAATCAGCCTTCAGCATCATTTTCTCAGTGGCTGTCTCTTCTCTCTTGGCCAAAACCATCATGGTGGTGCTGGCCTTCCTAGCCACCAAGCCAGGAAACAGTGTGAGGAAATGGCTGGGGAAGGTTTTGGGAAATTCCATTGTTTCTTCTTGCTCTGTTGTCCAAGTTACGATCTGTGCCATCTGGCTGAGCACCTCTCCTCCATTTCCTGATTCGGATATGCATTCCCAGGCAGGAGAGATTGTCCTGCAGTGCAATGAAGGCTCAGTTGCCATGTTTTACATTGCTCTCTGCTACATGGGTTTCCTGGCAGCTGTCTGCTTGGTGGTAGCTTTCCTGGCCCGGAGGTTGCCTGGGGCCTTCAATGAAGCCAAGCTGATCACCTTCAGCATGCTTGTTTTCTGTAGTGTTTGGATCTCTTTTGTGCCCACCTACCTGAGCACCAAGGGCAAGTACATGATAGCCGTGCAGGTTTTCTCCATCTTGGCCTCCAGTGCTGGACTGCTGAGCTGCATCTTTTTCCCCAAGTGCTACATTATCCTTTTTCGACCTGATTTGAATAAAAAGGAGCAGCTCACCCTGAAAAACAAAACAGAAATGTGATTTTAAATGTGATTGCATAATTTAGCAAGCAAAGGGACCCAATTTGATTATCTTGGTTCCCCAAAACAAATGTTTAGTTTAAACACGGTAATTTCTTAGTGAAGCTCATTCTATCTGCTTTAGAAATAAAATGAAGACATACAATCATATCCTTTAGTAAACTTTATTTGGTTAAATTTTCCTTTCTGCACCCTACCTCAGAAGATGCAGCCTAGAGCCGCGATGGCGAACCTATGGCACACGTGCCACAGGTGGCACGCGGAGCCATATTAGTGGGCACGCCAGCTCAGCTCTGGGGCCCATGCGCGTGCCAGCCAGCTGATTTTCGGGCCTTCTGGGCCCACCAGAAGTAGAGAAACAGGCTGTTTCCTGCCTCTGGAGGGCCTGGGGGCGGGGTGGGGAAGGCCCGTTTTTCTTTCTTACCTGGCTCCAGATCCTCTCTGTGTATCTGGGAAGGGCGAAAACAGCCTTTCCCACTCCCTTGGAGGCCCTATGGAGGCTGAAAGGGCCCATTTCCCGACTCCCGGTGGGACAGGAAGTGACATTTTTTCCTGTCCCCAGCCTCCAGAGACTCCTAGAGAGACTCCTAGAGACTCCTAGAGAGACTCCTAGAGACTCCTAGAGAGGTTCTGGAGGCTGGGGACAGCAAAAAATGTCACTTCCTGTCCCACCAAAGTTGGGAAATGGGCCCTTTCAGCCTCCATAGGGCCTCCAAGGGAGTGGGAAAGGCTATTTTAGCCCTTCCCAGATACACAAAGAGGATCTGGAACCAGGTAAGAAAGAAAAACGGGCCTACCAGGCCATCATGTACCAGGAGCGGGGGGGGAGGGGGAGGGGGTTGTGCACACATGCGCGTGGGCACATGCATGCGTGACCCTCCCCCGCCCCCTGTGTCCTGGCACGCGATAGCAGAAAGATTAGCCATCGCTGGCCTAGAGGTTCAAATAACACTTTGTCACTGAGCCTGTTGCCAGATATTTGGGTGATTCATTCAACCCTCCATTTTGGGGCTACACCTCCCCTGGGGAGGCATCCCTCACAGGGAGGAGCAGCCCACTTTCCTGGTGGCTGAAGGCACTGCCTGCCCCACCTAGCACCTTCTCTGCTCAGGGACATGCAGCTCTCCCTGACCTGGTGGTGCAGTAGTAGACAGGTGGCAGGAATGGCAAGGTGGGGTGGAGCCCATGCCTTCCCATTTGGGGGGTGGCAGGGCACTGCATCTCTCCTGGGAAGGCACACCTGGTAGGGAGTAGTAGCCTGGTTGCTCTGGAACCTGAGCCTGCTGCCTGTCCCACCAGGCACTGTGCCTGCATGTCGCATCCAATGAGAAGACTACGAGAGTCCCATTCCTTGTTGTGTAGATTGACTATCAGGATTTGTGGCTAATTATCAAGTTGGATGGGGCGATTTGTCCCACGACTAGTTGCCTGGGTGAGTGTGCAGGAATAGAGGGAGAAGAGTGAAAGTGATGGGGGAAGGATGGGGGGGGGGGGGTGGGTGGGGGAGGGGGGGGGGGGTGAAGCAGGCTGGGCCAAGTGGTTGCAGCCAATTGTCCCATTCTGGGCTCAAAAAGAGTGTTCCAACACTTAGAAGACAACTAAACTGCTTTTGCTCCCCCACCAGTGGATTATGTTCTAGTGATATCTTGAATATCAAGATGATTTTAGTATCAAGGAAACTGATTGTTTACCTTCCCATTGGCCTTACCACTATGCCATTGATCTGATACCAGGAGTGCCCATCATCAGAGGCCATGTTTACCCTCTGTATGAGCCAGAAACTGAAGCACTCCATAAATTCATCAATACAAATCTGAAACAAGTTTTTGTATTAGAAAAGACAAAGGATGTAATGGCCTTTGGTGTTCTTGGCATGCAGAGACACACATACACAAATAGATATATTTGTGTATGTGTGTATAGATAGATAGAGGAATAATTATGGTAATGAGGAACCCTGGTTCTTGAATTGACAAGTACCATAGTTATATAGCAGAATAAAATTTGTAGACACCTTGCAATTTCCCACACAAATAGGCACAGTCATTTTCTGATTTGTCCATCCCCATCCATCACGGTAGAAGAGCTCCTTATTTAGTGACCACAATAGAGACTGGCAACTCCATGACTAACTGGCACAGTTGTTGCACTTGATGTCAGACTGTGCTGACTTACAGTGTCAGTTTTGACTGCGGTTGTGAAATGAATTTCACCTGGTTATTAGATGCCAGATCATGTGATCATCATTTATCAGATTCCCTATTGACTTTGCTTGTCAGAAGCCAGGTACGAAGGTTGGAAATTGAGATCCTGTGGTCATGGGATGCTGTGGCTGTCATAAATACATGCTACTGGCCAAGCATCTAACTTACAGCTACAAGAACCAGTCATAAGTCTCCTCTTCAGTGTTGTCATAACTTTCAACAGTTGCTGAATTAGGAGTCCATTTAGTGTGAATTACCTATAGGTAAAAATCAAGGTGATTAAATCTCCCTTTGTACGCAGAAATCCCTTTAAAAGAGCATAGATTTCTGTCTTCATAGCCTATTTCAGATGAGTCTCCATATGAGTCCCCCCGGAGATATGGAGGATCCCGGATCTGCGCACCTTCCGTCGCGCGCTTAAGACTTTCCTATTCCATCAAGCTGGCCTGGCCTAAATCTTCTCTCCTTTTTAAATGTAAATTTTTAAACTGTAAATTTTAATTTGTTTTAAATTATGGGGTATTTTAAATTCAGCCAAATTATTTAATTCGTTTTTAATTCATTTTAATTTTTTTGTATTTATGTGTTTTATCTCGTGGCTGTTCACCGCCCTGAGTCCTTCGGGAGAAGGGCGGTATAGAAATTTAATAAAATAAATAAAATAAAATAAATAAATAAAATATCCCATTTTCCATACACATCAGTGATGAAATGCTACATGTCACTATATCATGGCCTGGTAGAAAAACTGACATGTGCGAAGGAAAATATACTCACACGAACATGCTGATTATTTCATAGGTTTGTGGTTCCAAGAATAAGAGAGTTAGTGCTCTACCAGTCAATGGGGAAGAATCACAGGGCAGGATCAAAGATTGAGATATATAAGAACCCTAAGGTATTTATTCTATAGGAGGAAAGCCTGGATCAGATGAATGGTATCCTAAGCCCGTGATGGCAAACCTATAACACGCATGCCAGAAGTGGCACGCAGAGCCATCTCTCTGGGCACGTGAACCATCGGTCATTGCTCTTCCAGGTTCTGGCGCACCGGCCTGCTGGTCTTCACATACATGGGAGCACTGAAAACTGGAAGAGCATCTGTCCGGTGCAGATGTGCATGCCGGGAAGATGATCTTCCGGTTTCTGGCACGTGCATGCGTACAGGCCAACTGGTCTTTGCGCATTCATGAGCACCAGAAACCGGAAGACCAGGTGGCCGGTGTGCATGTACACGCCAGAACCTGGAAGATCATTCTCCCAGCACGCACATGCATGATGGGAGGCTGCTTTTCCAGCTTCCGGAACGCATGCATGCGTATGCCTCCGCTTTGCCACTTGATGCCGAAAAGGTTTGCCAACACTTTCCTAGGCCATTAAAGGAGTTTGCTTGTGCTCTAGTCAAAAAATGATTTATTCAGTTAATGAAATTCTGGTGATGTGATCAAAAGTACTGGTGAGGAGCAAATATTTCCTTATTATAATCTTATCTCATTATTTAATCAGGTAGCTTTCTTAGGAGATTGTGGGACTTTTGTAAATGCTTATTTATTGTCCACATTTTTACCGCACCACAATCCAGATATTCTCAGCACATGGCTGATTAGATAAGTGTTCATGGGCTGCCTCATGTCCTGTGTGTTGTAGAGATTGTTCCTGATAAGCAAAGATCCCTGGGAGCAGATGCCAAGAGTCCATATTCCCAGTAGAGTCACCCAAGGCATGAAGCTCATCCCAGTGGTACCTGTGCATTATGTTTTTTCTTGCCTAAATAGAGAACCTTACTTGGAATGTCTTTGAAAAGGCAAAGGCCATGTAATGGCCATTGGTGTTCATGGGGAAGTCTCTGGTTGATGGGTGGGAAATGAAATCCACCATATTTTAGTCCTTCCTTTGAGGCCTCTGGAAGGCTTCCTGCAACCCACTAGTGAAAGAAAGAAAGTAAGAAATTACTCTATTATTGCATAACTTAGAGAATTCTCTGGATTCTGATCCTTTTTAAGATGGATCACTGAGAAAGTTGATAGTTGTAAGAATTGCACCAGCATGTTTTCCAGCTGAGTTTTAGTCTATGCGATCACCCAGAGTTTTGGATATTGCAGAGGGAATGATTCCTGTTACAATTAGTCACATTTTCTTGTCTTCTTTCTGATTCTCCAGTGATTTTTCTAATGATTGCCTTCAGTGTAAACAACAAACCTATGAACAACATAATCTGTTAACTTGTTCCAGACAGTCTTGGTGTATCTGGTGAGACTTTATTTGCATCTCCTTCAAATATAAAATGTTGGCTGAGCTCTTGAACAAGGCAAATTACAGAAAATTTAGTTTTCTTGGTTATTCTTAAACATATCTGGTGAGAACAAGTGACTCTACCCAACACGCCAACTATGCGGGTTATCCTTCTGCTTTTGCCCCATATAATTTGTGGGGTGCTAAGATTGAAATGTCCCTTGAATTTGAAACAAGACAGAGAAAAGCTACTGAATGTCTACAGACCAGGAGAGCATGTCATCAGTGGGATCACTCATTTCACATTTACTTATGACGAGTTAAACTTTAGTTTTAACAATGCTCCCATTGGTGATTGGACTTCGTAAGTCCCTATGTCTGACAGAAATACAGCTTCTGCATCTGTTGTGTGTGAGAGATTGTTCTGTGTGATTGTTACTGAAGGGAGGTAAGATGTGAACAACCAAGATATATGAGGGGAGTCCATTGATAGCTCATCTCATAAAGAGAAGCTGAGCCCAGGTGGGAAGAAACCTGGGAAGTAGTTACTCAAAATGTTCCATGTTTCTCTGTGTTAATTAATTCATGTTTAAAGGATCTTTTATTTATCTTTCATGCAAATATCAAAACCTCTTACTGAATATTTGTGCAACACATTTTCTGTGTTGCAAAAATTTCCTGATGTTGTGGAAGAACATCATATTCCTAAACTTAAAACATTACAGGCATCCCTTAACTGGGTGGTCTGTCCTTTATCAGTTTTCTTTTTCTCTTCTCTCCAGATTTCCAGACCAGAAAAATAGATTTCAGCCAAATGAAGGAATTTATTCCCTCCCAGTCAGAACAGCCTTAGCCTGAGAGCCATCTGCAGATTTATTATATTGCATGTAGATTGTGCACCAAGGGTGGAACTGCAGCAAATTAATGATTTATTCTTCTTGTGCCCAAATCTACTATTCTAGCCAAAATTTTGCAGCTACTCCGAAATGAACTAGAACTGACTCTACTGTAAAATTAAACCCTGAATGAAATACTCCTCAGTCTGGATAGGAAAAAATTGAGGGCAGGGGAGTAAAGAGAGTGGGGTATATATAAGAGTCTCTTCTGAGTAGCAGGGCTTAATGTTTAAGTTAGCAAAGCAGCTGCTGGCCAAGAGGTTGGTGGTGGTGGAGGATGATCCTAAGATTACTTGATCTTGGTTACTTAGAGCCTTAGGAATTTAGGACTAGATTCACTGAAACACTGACTGCTCCCATGTAGGTCTACTTGGCTCTTCATTACTTGGCCTGGAAAAAGTTACATATATTTGCAGAGAGAGAGAAAATGAGTGTAAATCATCTCATTTGGGATTTAAGTCAGCTAAAGAAATATTCTCAGACATTAGACACAGAGGTTTTTGATATGTATTTAATATTCTTTTTTCAATCCAAAGAGACTCTTAAATATGTTGTTGTGATGGAATGTAAGGTGAAAATGTAATGTACTCATATTTCCAGAACAAGTTACCCAGAGTTCTGGAAAGCCCTGTCCTTCCTTTTTGCCTTTGAGGAGATTAACCAAAATCCCCAAATCTTACCCAACGTCACCTTGGGCTACAATATTTATGATAACAGTGTCACCACAAAAAGAACTTTGGAGGCTTTGCTGGATCTGCTATCAAAGGGAGAGGCGGATGTTCCAAATTATAGCTGTGGAAAGAGAAGAAACACTCTGGTGGTGCTTGAAGGAGTCGGTGCAGACATGTCCATCCATATCTCAAGTTTGCTGAACCTCTACAAGATCCCCCAGGTAGATAACAGGTCTGACTGCTTCAAAGGAGACAGATTCCCTGTGGCCCTGATGTGCACCATGGGTTATTTGGGGAAGCAAAATTTTAGGGGTTACGATGGTGAAGGTGATGGTGGGAAAACTGCAGTGTTTGAGCAGGGAAGCTCTATCCTCCTTGTGTTCTTTGGAACAGCATACCAGTAAAAGTGAGAAGAAATATAGCAGCAAGAATACATTCTGCTCAACTGGGAGAAAAAATGACTGTATGCTGTTTGGGAACTCAGTCTTGGAGAATATGCAGCAATTTAACAACATATATATATTGTGTATGTTTGTGTATAGAGTAAAAAAAACATGATGGAAATTACAATAGCAAGTAATTCATCTTAAGACAAACCTATTATTGTAAAATAAATACTGTGATGTATGCTGTTCCTTCAATTTTTAATTTTATTTTACATTCATTATATTTAATTGTGATGAAAGTCAAATGATTAAAGTGCTTGTAACATTGACATTTGGAACAGTGATTAATATTGACAAACTATCCATATTTTATTTTCTTGTCTGCATTTAATACTGTAGGGCACTTGCATAGGAGAATATTAAGGATTTATTGTATGAAAAGCATTTTATGGAAAAAACAAATTGCACTATAATTGATGACCTCCCTGGCTAGATTTAAAGATATCTTAAAAGTTGACCTAGTATCACAGTAACATTTATGAAAATATGTTTCGTTCCTATAAACGTCACTAACTTATTCTTCTTTTCAGGTCCGTTCCACTTTTCCTCCTCTGGTTTTGAGGGACAGACAGCATTTCCCTTTTTTTTACTCCACTTTCCCCACAGAAACAAATCAATATCTAGGGATCATCAAAATCCTCCAGTATTTCAAGTGGACATTGACTGGACTCATTGCTCCAGATACAGAAAATGGAGAGAAATTTATGAGACTCTTCACATCCATTCTGGACCAGAATGGTATTTGTGTTGTTTTTACAGTGATCATTTCAGGATATGGGTGCGATTATAAGGAGAAGGATGGTGGTCTTTTATATGGAAAAGTTGAGATCTTTATTTACCATGCTGAATTTCAAAACTTCATGGATGGATTTTCAAGTATACTATATTTCCTCATTAAAAAGAAGGGATACGTTGTGGGTAAAGTTTGGATCATAACAGTTATTTCGGACTTCACTTTCTGGATGTCAATGACTCCAAAGTTCAATGAAAAAAGCTACTGTATCTTTTCTTTTCTAAGTCACACAAATAAAAAAATTAATTTTGATGAACAACTTGAGTCTTTTACTGAGAGAATTGTGGATGAAATCTATTCGTGTTCCTATTCAAAGCATGCTCCATCCGTGAAAGGTTGGACATGGTGCAGAGAGAAAGAAAAACGGAGGCCAATGTCTCAAGAGTTGAGGGAAAAGATTCTGTCCCTGGACGGTTATCACATTTACCACACAGTCTGGACAGTTGCACATGCTTTACATGCAGCTTATGCTCTCCAGTCCCAGCGAAGGGCCACAAAGAATGGAAACAGATCAGGAGTTCAACGACTGCAGCCTTGGCAGGTACAACTTTTTATGGAGATTTAGTATAAACCAATTATTACATTTAATTTCCTTTTTATCAGATTGTATGAAGATGGGGAATTATATGATGTCCAGTTTCATCTTCAACTGGCAGAGCTTCTGTAACTTGCCAATAAATTAATATAAGCACTTATTTAGTATCTGACTGAGGAGGTGCAATCATTTCCTTTATAACCTCCATTTGGATAAATCTCCCTTTGTGTAAGCTGTTTTAGAAGACACAGTCCAGTGTTTCAGTTTGGAAATTTGAAGAGCAATTGATGTGTTGAATATAACTGTTTTTTAAAAAAATTTCTGTTGTTACTACTTTGAATTATAATGATCTTTCTCTGCATAACTTTAAAACTACATCACTTTAGGGTGAGACGGAGGGACCGGCTCAGTCACCAAGGAAGCTTCTAAGGCTGAGGGGGAAGAATTAGCTGGCTTTTCCATCTCCTGGACTTTCATCTTCTCTCCTAGTTCCTATTTTGCAACTAAGCTATCTGAGAAATATGCCCTTCTCTTTTCTCAAATGGTTCTTTCTGCCTTTTCCCATAGTGTCCTCTTTATCCTCAGTCCATGAGTGAGACAGTCATATGTTTGGCTGCATTGGTGCAAATGTAGCCTTGCATTCTTTATTCTGAAACCCTCTGGGGGCAGCTTCCAGGTGTCTCAAACCTATTCATGACCCAGAAGGGAAGTCAAGCCACTGGGAAATGACTGAGAGGAGAGACAAATACCAGACCAGCATTGGTTGGCTCCAAATCAGGGATGGATGGGAAGCTCTTTAGGCCATCTCTGAGGAATTGTCCTTCACCCCTGGACCAAACCTTGATTTACAGGAAGGCCAGCTATGGAATCAAGAGAGTTTAGAACTTAATCCCACTTTCCTATTTTCTTCAAATGTTTCCTATCTCTTTGCTGTTTTAGCTTCACCCTTTCCTGCACATCTCTCAGTTTTACAATAATTCCATAGAAGGAATGTATTTGGACGAGAAAGGGGACCTGGCTGCTGACTTTGACATCATGTACTGGGTGAGGTTTCCCAATTGGTCTCTTTACAAAACAAACGTTGGGAGTCTGGAAAGAAAGGGATGTTCAGAAGACAAATTCAGGTTCAGAATGGACCAGGATGCAACCAGAAGGGCCATCCCGGTCGATGAGGTATGGGACATAATTTTTTTTATTTCCACATATTCAATATTTTGTTTAAAATCTGTTCCTTTTTCATAACCTAGCCTCACAACAGTGTGTCAAAAGGACACCTTCAGCCTAGAATTCAGGGTTCCTTTAATGGGTTATTTGTTAAAGCTGCGGCAGAACCAGAGATGTTCTAAATGCTTCTTTGGAGATTACTGAGACACTCCTGCCCTTCAACGATGTTGTAAAAGGATGCAAATGACCAGCTGTATGCAAGAAATATCAATCCTTCCATTCCCCACTGTCCTGTCAGAGCTGAAGAAGCATCTAGGATGAGAAGCGAAATGTCTTCAAAGAAAAAACAAGGAAGTCCAGTTGCCTCCTGAAAAAGCACCTTTGGGACATCCATCACCTGGTTGACTGAGGATCTCTACAGACTGTCCCCAAAGACTTTATCATGTTGCTACAGGACAGGACATGGTGGCTTCAGTGAAAATATTTGGATCTTAAGACCTTCACCAATTTCACTGATGTTCATTATCAGAGCCAACATCCCAGTCATGAAAACAAAACAAAACAAAACAAAACTCTTCTTGACTATAGATGACTTCACAGAGAGATTCATGAAGAGTACAGAGGTATTTTTGCCTTCTTCCATTGAGATCCTGATGAGAATTAATCCTATCCAGCTTCTTCAGATCAACAAACGTGTATAGATTCCGCTACTTAAGTGGCCATATTGAAATATATTGAGACGTCTTGCTGAATGTCAGCTACTTTCCTCTCAATGTTAAAGAATCAAGCAATTGTTTCTGTAAAAGAATCCTGCTCAATGCTTATTCCCACTTATATTTTACAAAACCCAAATAAATGAATTCTAATTTGAAACAGTGGGGGGGTTCGACTTATTTTATAAAACACCACCAGGCAGGACAACAAACCAATCAAGGAGAGAAGCAACCTGGAAGTAAGGAGAAATTTCCTGCCAGTGAAGACAATTATTGGAAGAGCTTTGCCTTCAGAAGTTGAGACAACTCGTCATTATCTTTGTTTTCCCGATATTAAGACGGAATCCTACTTTTTCACTTTCGGCCTTGATTTTCCAGATTATTTTCTCCAGGGTTCCTTATTTTCAGCCAATAGTATTGTGTCATGTCCATGTTTAGATTCCCCAAATGAAAACTTGGGGTACTAGTTTCCTTCAGTCCTTCTCTTCTACCTCACATTTCCTAGGGACATCAGCTACACCTTTTCCACTGAATTCTCCTTTTCTTTATCTTCAGCCCCTGCCGAGTTCTCGATGTGTGGATAGCTGCCTGCCTGGATTTGTTAGGATGCTGGATCCCATGAAGCCAGTTTGCTGTTACCGTTGTGTTCCTTGTGCAGAAGGGACCATCTCCACTCAGGAAGGTGGGTGACTCCAAAGAGAAAAGTTGCTTACATATTTTTTGTTTTTAATATTCACAATGATTTCTTCCAGTTTTATTGGTTCTTAACTTATCTCACTTTGTTTTCACACTTATAAAAGAAGGGTATACCTTTTTCCCAAAGAAAGAGAGTTGGTAAAGTGTTGAAGAACTGGGTTTTTAAAATATTTTTAAATCTCTACATGGCTTGAGACCAAGTTATCCGAAGGACCGTTCCTTCCTTCACATCTACCTGATCCACCAAATCGGGCAGGCAGGGAATGTTGCGATCCCCCATTCCTAAGGTGGTACATCCGGGGGTGGGCTTCAAAAATTTTAGCAAGGGGTTCTCTGCCCGGTTGCTGGGTGGGCGTGGCCATGGTGGGTGTGGCCTAGTCAGTCTCGTGCACCACATGGGGGGATGTTTTTGCCCTCCCCAGGCTCCTTGAGCCTCCGGGAAGGCGAAAACAATCTCCCCATGCTCTGGAGGCCCTCTGAAGGCCTGAAACGGGCCTGATTCTTGCCTTCCTGAACTTCCAGTAGGCCCATTTTTTCCCCTCTCCGGGCACACCCTACACTTATCTGCATCTAAAACAGGCTGTGTGTGTACTCCTGGGAGGGATGGGGTAGGGTGGGGTGGGTGGGGCTAGCCAGGAGTGGGATTTGGGGGTTCTCTGAAGTGCACAGAATTTTAGCTAGAGGTTCTCCCAAACCCCTGTAAGCCTTCAGCAGCCCACCCCTTGGTACATCTGGTGGGATCCAGCAGAAGGATCTTCTCTGTGGTGTCTCCCTCCCTTTGGAACATCTTCCCCACAGAGATTAGACTGGCTCCCACTTTGATACTCTTTTGCAAGGCCTTGTAGTCGTTGTTTTGCCAATGGGCCTGGGGAACCCAGAGTGGGATTGGAGCCCACCAATTTATCTGATTGTTGCCCTCAGATGGTGGGAGGGCTATTATTTTTATTGTATGTATAGTGGGTTTTTATTTTTGAAGCAACCCAAAGACAATGAAAGTGAGAGAGAGAGGCCATAAAAATTCAAATAAATCAATAAAGAAACAAACAAATCAATAATAGCTAAATAAGTATTTAAAAGCTTTACAGAAAGATAAAAAAAAACCCAGCTTACCAAAGAAACAAAACAAAACAAAACAAAAAACCAAATAGGAAAAAGCACATAATAAAAATATAAAAGTGAAGTACATGATTATTAATAAAAAAGGAAGAACAAAAATGAAGATACGTCAAAATCTAGACGTATAATTGCCACATCGAACATTTCTAAAACAATTTTATTGTGTATAACCAACACAATAATAGGCTGCAAAGAAACCCTTTCAATTTTTATTACAATTATTTGTTTAGTGACTGTTCAAAGTTATAACGGCACTGAAAAAAAATGAGTAATGACCGTTTTCCACACTTAACCACTGTTGCATTATCCCTACAGTCACGTGATCACACTTTGGGCACTTGGCAATTGTCATGTACTTATGAGAGTTGCTCTGTCCCAGGGTCATGTGATCACCACGTGCCAGCTCCTGTCAAGCAAAATCAATGGGGGAAGCCAGATTTGCTTAAGGACTGCATGATTCCCTTAAGAATTGCAGTGATTCCCTTAAAATCTGTGGCAAAAAAGGTTGCAAACTGGATCAAAACTCACAACTGCCTTGCTTTAGCAATGGAGGCTTTAGGCTAAATTGTGGTCATACATCGAGGACTATCTGTAGTTTTTGTCTAAATTCCATATTTATGGAATGTAATTCAACATAAGGTTAACTTCTTTATTATTGAAATACTTCCACACAAGTAAAGAAGGTGAGTGTTGCATTTGTTCTTTGCAGACGCTGAACAGTGTGTGAGATGCCCTGAGGACCAACACCCCAACAAGGCCCGAGATCAGTGTGTTCCTAAGGTGATAGTCTTCCTATCCTACACAGAAGATTTGGGGATCATCCTTACTTCTTTTGCTTTACTTTTCTCTTTGAGCACCTGTTTTGTTTTAAGCATTTTTGTTAAGCACATGGGAACTCCAGTTGTCAAAGCCAACAACCGGGACCTGTCTTACTTGCTCCTCATTTCCCTCCTGCTTTCCTTCTTGTCTTCCTTCCTCTTCATTGGCCAGCCATGGAAAGCCACCTGCCTTCTGCGACAATCAGCCTTCAGCATCATTTTCTCTGTGGCTGTCTCTTCTCTCTTGGCCAAAACCATCATGGTGGTGCTGGCCTTCCTAGCCACCAAGCCAGGAAATAGTGTGAGGAAATGGCTGGGGAAGCTTTTGGGCAATTCCATTGTCCTCTCTTGCTCTGTTGTCCAAGTTATGATCTGCACTATCTGGTTGGGTACTGCTCCCCCCTTCCCAGATTCGGATATGCATTCCCAGGCAGGAGAGATTGTCCTGCAATGCAATGAAGGCTCGGTCACCATGTTTTATTCTGCACTTTGTTATATGGGCTTCCTGGCAGCTGTCTGCTTGGTGGTGGCATTCCTGGCCCGGAGGCTGCCTGGAGCCTTCAATGAAGCTAAGCTGATCACCTTCAGCATGCTGGTCTTCTGCAGCGTTTGGATCTCCTTTGTGCCCACCTACCTCAGCACCAAGGGCAAGTACATGATAGCCGTGCAGGTCTTCTCCATCTTGGCCTCCAGTGCTGGACTGCTGGGTTGCATCTTTTCCCCCAAGTTGTACATTATTCTTTTCCGACCTGATTTGAATAGAAAGGAGCAGCTGATTCTAAAAAAACAAAACAGAAATGTGATTTTAAATGTGCAGAATTTTTCAACCACCAGGATACCCATTTGCTTATTTCTGTTCCCCAAGACAAATGCTTAGATCTAATGTGATGATTTCCTTGGGAAGCTCAATCTATTTGCTTTAGACTTCCCTTCTAAGAACACACAATTTGTTAAAAGATCTTTTATTTTAAAGGTATATCAGAATTTGAACTTAACTTTTTAAACAACAACCACAAAAGATTTTAACATATAAGTAAATAAAAAGGAATCCTTTTGCAAAATCAAGGTCTCGATGTTTTGTAACACATTCCCTGTACGTGTGTGCAGAATCTTTATACGCTGTCACCTGTGATCTTCTGGGTTCATTTTGTAGCTGATACTTTCCCTGAACATTAATCAGGAGTTTGGGGTGAACTAAGTTCTATGAGATAATATAGTCTTCTCCGTATTGTCTTCTCTACTGCTATAGTTCATGATCCAACGCCTGAACATTCCATAGTGAGTGATGACACTGGTTGCACTTATGATCTTTATTTAACCTTCACTTTCCCAGCTGTCAGTGTCCCAGTAACAGCTGCTTAGTTCAAGGGCATCTAAAAATATTACTAATAAAGGAGAATATTAATAGCTCAGGGTTGGCATGAGGGGTCCATGGTGCTCTGTGAGCTTGTTTGTTTTCTTGCAGACATTTCTGTACCAAGAACCCCTCAAAAATATTACTGCAGTGGGCCAACCTGGTGTTTTCTGAATGTCTTTTTTCACTATGTCAAAAGATTAGATGATATTGATAGTAAACTTTAATTCTGTAGACTTAATGATATAAGTGACTCCAATAACACAGAGAACTACTCTAAACATGAACCACAATAGACTTTTGCATCTCAATGGGGGACCTTCAAAAGGTTGATTGCAATGTGACCTAGGTGTATTAATTTTAACTGAACTACATTCAAACATTATACAGTTCGACACAATGGAGCACTATTCTATGCCTGCTGCTAAAATTTAGCAATGCTCTATTACTATTAATCATTGTCTACCTTCTACCTTCTAGGGTCCAATTTTACAATTTTGGAAAAAAATTGAAGGGTATATAAGTACGCTTATAGCAGGGGTGTCAAACTTGCGCCGTCATGTTGTCGTCACATGATATATCGTGACTTCCCCCCCTTCGCTAAACCGGGGTGGGTGGGTGGGCGTGGCCAGCGCGTGATGCATCCAGCCTGCAGACCATGAGTTTAATACTCCTGGCTTATAGTTAATAAAAATTTCTGGTGTCTTAAATACAAAGGGGGGCATGTAAACAATGAGAACCTTTTTATTCAGTTCTACCAATACCCTCCCTCCATAATTAATTACAATTTCCCCTTTATCAGCCAGGCAATCTAAAGGTTCAAAAAGTTATCAGAAGGGGTTATGGTTCTCACCAACAATTAACTAACCAAAATTATATTTATTGGATGGATCCATCAGTAGCAATTTTCTTGGTGAAATCTCCCACTGGTTTGACTAAAGACCTGATTAATCACATTTGAATCACATGGAATTTATTTACTTTATTCAAAGTAGTATCTAGACCGGGGGGGGGGGCAAACTAGCAGTCCATGGACTGGATGCGTCACACACTGTATACCCCTACCCCAAAGTTTAGCAAAGGGGGAAAAAGTCACGATACATCATGTGACGACGTGACGATGTGAGTTTGACACCCCTGATCTAGACAATTGACATGATACTGGCCATTTTCTAAACATCACAGTTATGAAAGTATTGAACAACTGGTTTCTCAAAACAGATCTTACTTCAACTTTGCAATCAGAGTTAGAACCAGGGCTGTTCAATGCCAAATGGACTCAGCAACTTGTTATTGGACTGTTCATAAATTCTTTTTTATTATTACTGAATACAAAATTTTCCTATTTTTTATACTTCAACTTAATTTCCATTTCTTTCATGCAGAAGGCTGTTGTTCTAACGTTTTCATTTGATTCAAATGATTGGAATCCCTTGGTGAAGCGTGTAGTTTCTCCTCTCTTCCTTTAATTTGGACAAGTAGAGTTTGCTTTGCTTTTCCTTGGGATTTCCTTTTCAGTTCGACATTATATTTTTGAAATAGCCTCTGTTATCCCTACAATGTCTGGCTCAGATGCAATGCAGGTTGCTCCAGGCACTCACTTGGCCTCACAGCAATTCCTCCTGGGATTTTTGCACCTCCCTGAAATCTGTGACTCCTGAGCAAGGAGCAAGATGCTGAATTCAAGCAAAATTTGCCCACAGCTGTCTGTACTCAGTAGAGTATTGATGTTGACATAAAAACAAGGATCCCTTGCTAGAAGCCACTCCAGCATCTGATTTGCCTATTGCATGGGGGTCAAACTCAATCGTGTCGCGTTGCTGTCACATGATGTTTTGAGTTTAAAGAAAATTTGAGCAACCAACAAAGAAGGAAACCATAGTATGATTTCACATGTCATGGGAATCCAACGTTTCCATTTTGGTGTGATACTTGCATTGTACTTGGGTTTAGCTGACAATTTGTATTTACTGACAGCCACATTAGATTGTAGTGAGAATCACTTAAAAGGTGACAAAGTGAGATGTTGTATCCAAACACAGGAAATAAGGGAGGAATCTCACATCTCTTTGAAAAAGCAAGGGCAATATATTGGCCATTGGTGTTCATGGGGAAGTCTATGGGTGGTGGGTGAGGGTTGAAATCCACCATCTTTTAGCCCTTCCTTTGAGGCCTCCGCAAGGTTTCCTGCAACCCACTAGCTGAAAGAAAGCTCACACTATTGTTGCATAATTTAGATAATTATTTGGGTCCTAATTCTTATTAAGGTGGATCACTGAAAAAGTTGAGGGTTGTAAGAATTGCATCAGCAAGTTTTCCAGTTGTGTTTTAGCCCATGAAATCACTCAGAGCTTTGGACATTGCAGAGGGAACGATTCCTATTACAGTTAATCATGTTTGCTTGTCTTCTTGCCAATTTCCCCAATGATTGCCTTCAGTGTAAACAAGAGAGTTATGAACAACATGATTTGATGGCTTATTCCAGAAAGTCCAGGTGTTTTAATGCATTTTACCACTAATGGATCTGAAGGATGCGTCGGGAGAGAATTTATTTTCATCTCCTTCAAATATAAAACGTTGGCTGAGCTCTTGAATAAGACAAATCACAGAAAATATAGTCCTTGGATATCTTTAGACATATTTGATGAGAACAAGCAATTCTTCCTAACATGCCAACTATGCTGATTATTCTTCTGCTTTTGCCCCATATCATTTGTGGGGTGCTAAGGTTGAAATGTCCCTTAAATTTGAAACCGGACGAAGTAAAGCTACTGAATTTCTACAGACCAGGAGAGCATCTCATCAGTGGGATTGCTAATTTCAAAATTGCTTATGATGCGTTAAACTTTTGGTTTGACACCGATCCCATTGTTGATTGGACTTTGTAAGTCCCTCTGTCTGATAGAGGTATCCGTTTCTTGTGTGTGAGAGATTGTGTTGTGAGATTGTTACAGAAGGAAGGTAACATGTAAACAACCATGATATATGAGGGGAGTCCATTGGTAGCTCATATCATAAATGGAAACTTAGCCCAGGAAGCAAGAAACCTGGAAAACAATTACTCAAACTATTCCATGTGTCTTAATTAATTCATGGTTAAAGGAAATTGGAAATCCCTTTTGTACTTTCCGAGATTTTGTATTTACCCTACATGCAAGTATTAAAAAGCTCCTCGTGAATATTTTAGCAACATATTTTCTCTGTTACTTCCTTGAGGTTGGGGAAGAACATTGTATTCCTAAAATGAAAATGCTACAGACATCCCTTAACTGGGTAGTCTGTCCCTTATCAGATTCCCTTTCCTTGCCTCTCCAGATTTCCAGACTAGAAAAATAGATTTCAGCCAAGTGAAGGAATTTATTTCCTTCCAGTCAGAAGAGCCTTAAACTAAGTGCCATCTGCAGGTTTATTAAATTGCATGTAGATTCTCCACAATGGGTGGAACTGCAATAAATGAATGATTTATCCTTGTTGTGTCCAAATCTACTATTTTAGTGAAATCTTTGTGAATTGCAGCTACTCTAAAATGAATTACAACTGTCTCTACTGTAAAGTATGAATGAAATGCTCCTCAGTCTGGATAGAAACAAAATTGAGGCCAGGAGAGTAAAGAGAGTGGGGTGGATGTAATTGTCTCTTCTGGGCTTATTGTCTAAGTTAAGAAAGCACCTGCTGGGCAAGGGGGGGGGTGGGGGGGTGGAGGATGATCCTGAGATTACTTTATCATGGTTTGTTAGATTCCAGGGTCTAATACTGACTGCTCCAATGTAGGTCTATTTGGCTCTTCCTCACCAGAGAAGGTATCCTGCTGCAGGTAAAGGCTTGGAAACTATTGAATATATTTGCAGGGAGACAAATTGACATTTTGGTGACTGTAAATCATCTCATTTGGGTTCTAAATCAGCCAAATAAATACCTCAGAAATTAGACCCAGAGGTTTTTTTGATGGGTATTTATTACTATTACAATGAAAAGTGAAACTTTTAAATATGTTGTTCTGATGGAAGGTGAAAATGTAATGTATTCATATTTCCAGAACAGGTAAGACAGAGTTCTGGAAAGCCCTGTCCTTCCTTTTTGCCTTTGAGGAGATTAACCAAAATCCCCAAATCTTACCCAATGTCACCTTGGGCTACAATATTTATGACACTGGTGTCACCACAAAACGAACTTCGGAGGCTTTGCTGGATCTGCTATCAAAGGGAGAGGCGGATGTTCCAAATTATAGCTGTGGAAAGAGAAGAAACACTCTGGTGGTGCTTGAAGGAGTTGTTGCAGACATGTCCATCCATATCTCACGTATGTTGAACCTCTACAAGATCCCTCAGGTAGATCACAGGTGTGACTGCTTGGCCATTTGAAAGGGGTCAGGTTCCCCTGTGGCCCTGATTGGACCAAATTTGGGGAAGAAGGTTCAAGAATCTGAATTAGATGTGAATTGCATGGGATCCTTGGACCAGGGCTCCTGTGTCAGATTGGAGAATCCCATGGGCTATTTGGGGAAGAAAAGATTTAGGGGTTCTGGTGGTGAAGGTTGCGGTGGGAAAGCTGCAGTGTTTGAGCAGGGAAACTCTATCCTGCCTGCCTTCTTTGGAAACTCCATACCAGAAAAAATGGCCAGAAATGCAGCAGCAAAAATAAATTCTGCTCAACACTGGGAATAAAAATGCAATTCTGACTGGACCGTATTTGGGAACTCAGTCTTGCAGAACAAGCAGCAATTCAACAATATTTATACATGCCAGAAGCAAGAATATTTTCCATCTGTACCTAATGTCACCTAGCAAGGCATGTATAATAATTCAAAGATTGATTTTAAGTGGGGGTTGGAGGGCTAAATATTGCAAGTTTGCAGATATGTAAAAGGAAAGTATTTAGAAAACCCACAGATTCTTTTTTTGCCTATTTTTAAATTTCTTTTTGCTCCATTTCAAATTTAATCATTTCCTATTTTGCTTTATTTTTTATTTAGCAGGTACAAAAAATCCATATTCTTTTTCCTATTCATATCTGTATATACACACATGAACAGATACACAGATACAGAAACAGAAATGTGTATTTATCATGAAAAAACATGATGGAAATTACAGTAGCAAGTAATTTATCTTAAGACCAAAACAATTATTGTAAAATAAAAACTGTTTGTTTAAATATTTAATTTAAATAATTGATTTAATTATTTAATTTAATTTAACTTTTTAAATATAAGTTAAAAGTTGACCTCTTGCAACGTTTAGTTCCCATAAATGTCACTCATTTATTCTTCTTTTCAGGTCCGTTCCACTTTTCCTCCCTTGGTTTTGAGGGACAGAAAACATTTCCCTTTTTTTTACTCTAGTTTTCCTGCAGAAACAAATCAGTATTTAGGAATCCTCAAAATCCTCCAGTATTTCAAGTGGACATTGACTGCACTGCTTGCTGCAGATACCGAAAATGGAGAGAAATTTCTGAGACTCTTGACACCTATACTTGACCAGAACGGTATTTGTGTTGTTTTTACAGTGATCATTTCAGAAAATAAATTTTATTATAAGGAGAAGGATGCTGGACTTTTATATAGAAAAGCTAACATCTTTATTTACCATGCTGAGGTTCAAACCTTCATGGATGGATTTTCAACTACATTGAACTTCCTGATGGACAAGAAGGGATATTTTGAATGGAAAGTTTGGATCATAACAGCTATTTGGGACCTCACTTTCCAGATGTCATTCACTCCAAAGTTCAATGAAAAAAGCTACCGTATCTTTTCTTTTCTTAGTCACACAAATAAAAAAATAAATTTTGAGAAACAACTTAGGTCTTTTACTGAGAGATATGTGGACGAAATCTATTTGTGTTCCTATTCAAAGCATGCTCCATCCATGAAAGGCTGGAAAAGGTGCCGAGAGAAAGAAAAACGGAGGCGTCTGTCTCAAGAGTTGAGGGAAAAGATTCTGTCCATGGACGGCTACCACATTTACCACACAGTCTGGACAGTTGCACATGCTTTACATGCAGCTTATGCTCTCCAGTCCCAGCGAAGGGCCACAAAGAATGGAAACAGATCAGGAGTTCAAAGACTGCAGCCTTGGCAGGTACAACTTTTTATGGAGATTTAGTATAAACCATTTATTACATTTAATTTTCTTTTTATCTGATTGTATGAAGATGGGGATTTACATGGTGTCCAGATTCATCTTCAACTGGCAGCTTACAAATAAATTAATATAAGCACTTATTTAGTATCTGACTAAGGAGGTGCAATCATTTCCTTTAAGAATCTCCATTTGGATAAATCTCTCTTTCTGTAAGCTGATTTAGAAGACACAGTCCAGTGTTTCAGTTTGGAAATTTGAAGAGCAATTGATGTGTTGAATATAACTGTTTCTTTTAATTTTCCTTTTTTACTACTTTGAATTATAATGATTTTTCTCTACATAACTTTAAAACTACATCACTTTAGCGTGAGACGGAGGGACTGGCTCAGTCACCAAGGAAGCTTCTAAGGCTAAGGGGGAACAAGTAGCTGGCTTTTCCATCTCCTGGACCTTCATCTTCTCTTCTAGTTCCTATTTTGCAACTAAGCTATCAGAGCAATATGCCTTTTTTTTTTCTCAACTTCCTTTTTCGGCATGTTCCCATAATGTCCTCTTTATCCTCAGTCCATGAGTGAGACAGTGATGAGTCAGGTTCAGCTGCATTTGAGGGCAGCTTCTAGGCTCCTGGAACACAGAGGAAATGGCTCAGTCATGCAGTCATTCCTTGACTGAGGGTAAATGAGTAGCCGGCTTTCCCATCTCCTGTTCCAGCATCTTTCCCTCTTGTTCTTAATCTGCAGCTAAGCTACCACAGAGTCTTAAATCATATTAAGCTTTATTGGTGTTGAAGCACCTTTGTCTCCTTTATTGTGAAACTGTCTGAGGACAGCTTCCAGGTATCTCAAATCTATTAGGCTGGGTCAGTCATGACCCTGAAGAGAAGTAAAATCCCAGGAAAGTGACTGAGAAGAGAGACAAAGACCAGAGCACCATTGTTTTGTTCTAAATCCATGATGGATGGGAAGCTCTTCAGCTCAGCTCTGAGGAATGTCTCTTAGCCTCTCAACCAAGCCTTGAATTACAGAGAAGACAGCTGTGGAATTGGGAGAGTTTAGATCTCAACCCCACTTTCCTATTTTCTTCAACTGATCCATTTGTCTTTGCTGTTTTAGCTTCACCCCTTCCTGCACATCTCCCAGTATTACAATAATTCCATTGAGGGAGTCTATTTGGATGAGAAAGGGGACCTGGCTGCTGACTTTGACATCACGTATTGGGTGACGTTTCCCAATTGGTCTGTTTACAAAACGAACATTGGGAGTCTGGAAAGAGAGGGATGTTCAGAAGACAAATTCAAGTTCAGAATGGACCAGGATAAAGTCAGAAGGGCCATACAGGTCGATGAGGTAACTTATTGCTTTTTTTTTTTTTTTATTTACAAATTGCCTAAATTAGTGTGTTGAGGGTAAACTGCCCTCTGCAGAGTAGAGCGATGGACCAGACAGCGTTGCAACACAGATACTCTCAGACTCTGAATGTTGTTAGAAAAATAAATAGTCTTTACTTGTTGTAAAACAAACAAACCTGGCTTCTCATAAACAAAGATAACACTTTCAATACAAAACAAAGTTTGCTTACAGTTCTAGTTCTGTAACACTGTCACAGTATCTTTAGCAGTAATATCATGAGCAGGAGTGAGCAGAAGTGAATGAACTTCCTGCCTTCCTTTTATTTCTGTTTTAACCACTTAATCAATTAGTCATCTTGTAGCAGTTAAAGTTACAGTACATATTATCTACCCAACCATAGGATAAGGATCCAACATTCTCCCCTTTGGGTAGACTAATATATTTACAATCTTAAACCATACTGTTCACATGTATCTATATGTTTCCTACTTCCCTGTGCTTTTGTGAAATGATCAGCCACATTGTTTTCTGATGCACAATATACAAGTTCTATCATTTTGTTCATTATACATTCTCTTACATTGAGATATCGAAGATCTGTATGTTTTGTTCTAGTCTTTACAGCTATATTTGTCGCCATTTTTATCGCTGCCTGATTATCTTCGTATACTATTATAGGATCTTGTATATCTATTCCTAAATCTAGCATCAGCTGCTTAATACTGATCAAATCCGTACATAACAAAGATAAACAAGAAAACTCTGCTTCCATTGTAGACATACTTAAATGCTTCTGTCTTATTGAACACCACCATATCAAAGATTTTCCCAGAAATACAGCGATTCCTGAGGTTGACTTTCTTGTATTCACATCTGTTGCAAAACTAGCATCTGCATAAGCGGTTACATGCAATTCTTCTGATGGTTGTAGATACAATGCATGATGCATAGTATATTTCAGATATCTAAGAATACGTTTTGCTCCTTGCCAGTGTCTTTCTGTAGATTCCATGTTGAATCTAGCTAATTGGTTCACACTATAAGAAATATCGGGTCTAGACCAATTGCTAATGTATGATAAACTGCCAATCAACGATAGGTATATCCCTTTCTCAAATAACGGACTTTGCACATCAGTGTTGCAATAATCGTGAACCATAGGTGTCTTTGATGGTTTACACAATTCCATTCTGAACTGTTTTAATAGATTATTAATTTTATCAGTTTGGGATAATTTAAATCCTCCCCTAGTTTTTTCGATCCTTACACCTAGGTATTGTTGTATCTCCCCTAGATTTTTAATCCTGACATGAGCTTTTAATTCATCAACAATCCTGTTGACCTCCTGCTCATTCTTTGTAATCAGAGCTATATCGTCCATAAAAAGAAGTAATAATGATACTATACAATCCCTTTCCATTTTAAATAAACATGGATCTGCTAATCCTGCTTTAAATCTGATATTTTTCAAAGTTTTTACAATGCACTGGTTCCATTCATAACCTGACTGTTTTAACCCATACAGACTTTTCTTTAATAACCAACAGTCAGCCTTCCCATTTTCCTCAAATCCTGAGGGTTTCTTTAAATAAATTTCATGCTGTAATGGTGCATGCAGATATGCGGTCTCTACATCTAAATGGTTGACTGTATATTTATTTCTAGCTGCCCATACCAACGCTGCTCTTAATGTAATGGCTTTTAAGCTTGGAGCGAATACTTCATCGTAATCATTAGGAGACTGATTAAATCCTTGAGCTACTAGCCTAGCTTTATATATTGGTATCCCATCTATCCCACTCTTTAATTTATATATCCACTTACTACCGAGTATAGTTTTTCCTTTTGGAATTGTTACAGGCTCATATACTTGCAAATTCTGCAAAGATTGTAGTTCTTTAGTCATTGCACATCTCCACACTTTCTGGTCTTCAGGTGGAAACATGGTCAACTCATTAAATGTAGTAGGGACTTTATTTACTTGATAGACTGTAGTTGCCTGATACCTATCAGGTGGTCTTGTTACTCTACTCGACCTTCTTGGGCGTTCAGGACTTACAGATTGCCTCTCCACCTTTACCTCTTGCTGTACTATATCTTTCTCTACCTCTTTGCTCTGGCTATCTGGCATTTCATTGGTAGCTTCAGTCTGAGTTTCAATGATAACCTCATTTTCAGTACCTAATTTATTCCACCCTACATGCTCCATAAACCTGGCATTTGCACTGTTAACTACCGTTGCTGTTCCTTTTACCCAAAATCTGTAGGACCTGTGGTTTGAATTATAACCAACAAATATTAATTGTTGTGCCCTACTCTGGCCCTTACGCCTTAACTGCGCTGGAGTATGTACCCATGCAGGTGATCCAAATGTGTGTATGTAGCTCAAATCTGGCTTCCTTCCATGCCATACGGTATATGGAATTTTGTTAGTGGTTGTATTTATGGTGTTGTTTAAGAGTGTATTTGCACACATAATGGCTTCTCCCCATAAATTAGCCGATAAACCTGCATCAGCTAACATTGATCTCATCATTGCTTGTAGAGTTTGTCCTCTCCTTTCAACATACGAGTTATGCTGTGGTCGATATGGAGCTGAACATTTGTGCTTTATACCAGCATTAGCTAACATTGATTTAAACCTTGTGTTGACAAACTCAGTACCATTGTCAGTTACAATAGTAACTATTTTTTGATTTGATTTCCTCTCTACAAACTTAATCCATTGAACAAAATACCGGAAAGTATCTACCTTAGACTTCAATAGGTAGCAAAAACCATACCTGGAATAATGGTCAACTATACCGAGAACATAGCAAGCACCCCCTAAACTAGCCTTCATTGGCCCTATTAAATCAGCAAATACCACTTCCAGTGGTCTCTTCGTTTTAAACCTGTCAAACCTATTAGCAGGTATTGTTCTACTTTTCTGCTGATTACAAATATTGCAATTTAAATACTGGTTACATGGTTTCAGCTTCAACCCATCAACTAATTTTACAGTTTTCTGTAACATCTTAAAACTGATATGTCCCATACGTCTGTGAAGCAAGTGAACACATTCATCAAGTGGTTTGACATTTGAGTATACAACATTTGTAACATGGTTACTAGATAATACATATAAACCATCTTTCAGTTTTCCAATAATCTTGGTTTCACCTTTTTCAATTAAACAATCATTGGTTCTAAATGTTACTGTATATCCTAGCTTAACCAATACTCTAACCGAAATCAAATTAAAGTTTAGATTTGGAACATATAACATATGCATTTTTTTCTTTTACATATGGACATATTGCCATTCCCTCACCACATGCCTTTAGCTTCCACCCATTTGCTAAAGAAACCTTATTATTACTAGGCAACATTTTCACAAAATAGTTTTGTGTTCTGACAATGCATAGCGACGCCCCGCTATCAATAACCCACGAATCGTGGTTAATTGGTTTCTTATCAGACATAGCTACATTACATTGTTTTTTATCATTAACCATGGTTTTTGGTTTCAGCCTTCTGCAAAACTTGGCTATATGAACCTTCTTGCCACAATTAAAACAATGTTTTACAGCATATACATGGTTATTTGCCTTTACATTTACATTAATCAACTCGGGTTCTTCCCTTAGTTGTTTTCTTTCTTCTCTCCTTCTGTCCTCTTCTAGTAGTCGTGAGGTTACATTGGCCAAAGTTAGTTCCTGCTGTGTGAGAACTTCAAATGATGTTACTACGTCATCATAGCTTTCATCTAGCGATAACAGTATATAAACTTGTTGCTGCTCGGAAAAAACCACCTCCTTCTGTTGTAGCTCTTGAAAAATGCTTTTTATGCAATTCAGGTGTGTTAACATGTCACCACCTTTAAGGAGTCTTGTGCAAAACAACTTTCGTGTAATGTTAATTTGCGCCCCTACAGTGTCACGAACATAAAGACGTTTCAAATTTCCCCAGCATTTTGCAGCAGACTGTTCACCCTCAATATGAACAAGCTGGGTATCGTCTAGAGACAAACCAATAATACACAATGCACTCTCATTCTTCCTCTGGAACTCGGCTATCTTCCTGGCATCCTCAGCATTGTCAGCATTCCAGGAAGTCACATCTGGTGGATTCTGCACTACATCCCATAGCCCTTCTTTGCACAACAGGAGACTGCACTTGGTGGACCAGGATTTGTAGTTGGTGCCATCCAGCCGGGTAACCAGCGATAAGTTGGGAGCTTGACCTTGTGCCATCCTCACCAGGATATTAAATACGTATCAGAATGTCTGGAGCAATAATGTGTGTCGCAACTCTCTTATTGCTGTAACTGGTACACACACTCTGACACTGGGCCCATAACCAGTGTTGAGGGTAAACTGCCCTCTGCAGAGTAGAGCGACGGACCAGACAGCGTTGCAACACAGATACTCTCAGACTCTGAACGTTGTTAGAAAAATAAATAGTCTTTACTTGTTGTAAAACAAACAAACCTGGCTTCTCATAAACAAAGATAACACTTTCAATACAAAAAAAAGTTTGCTTACAGTTCTAGTTCCGTAACACCGTCACAGTATCTTTAGCAGTAAATCACGAGCAGGAGTGAGAAGGAATGAATGAACTTCCTGCCTTCCTTTTATTTCTGTTTTAAGCACTTAATTAATTAGTCATCTTGTAGCAGTTAAAGTTACAGTACATATTATCTACCCAACCGTAGGATAAGGATCCAACATAGTGTACCAGAGAAATGCTGTGGACATATTATATTTGGACTTTACATTTGGCATTTGACAAGGTAGATCCTAATCTATTTCTTGGTCAGATAGAAACAAATGGGATAGATAGCATGATCACCAGATGGATCTGTAACTGGTTGACCAAGTGCACTCAATGTGCAGTTCTCAACGGAACTACATCTACAATACATAGAGGGAAGTATGCAGAGGGGTACTCCAAAGCTTTTTCCTAAACCTAATAGTCATCAACATTTTCATAAACAATTTAGATCAGGGGAAAGAAGGGGAACTCATCAAATTTGGGGACAATAGCCAACACTTTAGAAGATAGGCTAACGATCCAGAAGGATCTTGACAGACTTGAAAACTGGGCTCTACCCAACAAAATGCAATTCAGTAGTGAGAAAAGCAAGAGATTACAGCTAGGCAATAAAAGCCAAAATCACAGATATAAAACAGGTTGTACCTGGCTCAATAGTGGATAACTGAAAATCATCTGGGAGTCCTAATAGACAAAAATTTACCGTATTTTTTGGAGTATAAGACACACTCCCCCCCAAAAGGGGGTGAAAATTTGGGTGCCTCTTATACACTGAATGTAGCCCTCCCTACCCACTGCCCCACCCTTTGGTCTCTGCCTCCCAGCAATTTACCTCCTTGCAGCAAGCAGCAGGAAGAAATAGCCCGTTTCAGCTTCAGCACAGCCTAATTAGCACAAGTTGATTGTCAGTTGGATCAGCCTCCTGAGCCTCAGCTGTTTCAGGCTGCAGAGATTGCCATTGCTTATTGCTGCGCAGGATTCTGCTGCTTGCTGCAAGGAGGTAAATTGCTGGGAGCAGATTTTTTTTCCCCTTGTGCTAATCAAGCTATCCTGAAAACAAAAATAAAAGTAAAGCAGGCTGTTTGCTGTTTGTGCAACGAGGCAAAATTGCTGGGAGGCAGAGGCAGATTTCTTTTTCTTGTTTCCTCACCAAAAAAAGGTACGTGCGTCTTATTGTCCGGAGCATCTTATACTCTGAAAAATACGGTAAGTATGAAGCAGGAATGTGCTGCAGGTGCTAAAAAAAGCCAACACAGACCTATGCTGCATCAATAGAGGGATAGTATCAAGATCACGTGAAGTGTTAATACTGCTTTGGTAAGACCACACTTGGAATACTGCATCCAGTTTTGATCATCACGATAAAAAAAAGATGCTGGAACTCTAGAAAAAGTTCAGAAAAGGTTATCAAAGATGATTAGGGGACTGGAGGCTAAAACGTATGAAGAATGGTTGCAGGAACTGGGAATGTCTGGTCTAACAAAGAGAAGGACTAAGGCTGACATGATAGCAAATATTTTCCAATATTTGAGGGACTGTCCCATTAATCAGAGGAATGGCTTCCCTCCAGAAGTTGAGGATGCTCCATCATGGGAGATTTTTTTAAAGAAGAGATTGGAAAACCATTTGCCTGGAATGGTGTTAAGTCTCCTCTTCAGCAGGAGGTTTTAGTAGAAGACCTCTAAGCTCCCATCCAACTTTGTTATTCTGTTATTCGCTTTCCAAATCGCGTTTTGCAGCTGTCTGGAAATCACGGGGCCTGTCAGGCTGCCAAGTGGAAGGCAGACCTCCCTTTGGCAGGAAAGGTGAAGAATAAAATAAGAACAGAGTTTTTTTTCCCCCCTAGCTGTAAGGGAAAAGGACCCCAACCCCCCCCCCCCGGTGGCTATTTCACTGCACCCTCTGCAGATATCCAGAACACAGAGGTTCAACATATTACTTTTTTGCTATCGTCACTTGTGGCTCATTCAGTTCTTCTGGTTTAGATTCCACATAAAACTTGGGCCAGCAGGATTTTTTTTTTTGGAGAGGGTGGGGGTTCCTTCTGTTTTAGGTCACATTTCATAGCGACATCACCTATTTCACTGAATGCTCCTTTTCTTTATCTTTAGCCCCTGCCAAGTTCTCGGTGTGTGGACAGTTGCCTGCCTGGATTCGTCAGGCTGCTTGACAAGAATAAGCCAGTTTGTTGTTATAGTTGTGTTCTTTGTGCAGAGGGGACAATCTCCACTCAGGAAGGTGGGTGACTCCAGGGGGAACAGCTGTCTGTGTCTTCTTACGTTTTGATATAAACAATTATTTCTACCAGTTTAATTGGTTCTTAGCCTACATTACGTTTATATTTTTACACAACTATGAAACAAGGAAATGCTTCTTTCCCATGAAAGAGAGAGTGTTGAAAAATTGTTTTATTGTATTTTTAAAGATGGTACAGAAGTCTAAAACAAAAACCCAGCCTACCATAATAAAACTATGAAAGAGAAGAACATCATTATTAATAAAAAATAGGAAGGAAAAAGAAAAGAAATACAAAAAAATAAAAGAAAACTAGATGTATCATCTCCACTTGAAGTGTTTATAAAATAATATTATTTTATTTCAAATATATATATCTATAAAACCAAAAGGAAAATTAAATGTAAGGAGAAAAAAGGGGAAAGGGGAAAAGGCAAAATTAGAGGTACAACCAGTAAGGAAAATTGGTACAAAAGAAGAAATATCTTTTACTTTCTTTGATAAAGAAATAAACTTATAATACAATGACCTTTATATAAACTGTTCATATTTTGTCTCTCAACTTCTGAAAGTTTTGGCAAATTCAGGGGGTTAGGGTTACCTATTGATCAGTCTTCCAGGGAAATATTTTGTCTTTTATACGGATTTGAATAAAAGCCACAGAAGGATTTCTGAATAGTTATATTATCTAATATGGATATTTCCAGATGCAAAATTTAATTTGGTGTAAAATAGTGGAATCTGCTGATGCTTTCTGTAAATAGCAATAGCAATGGCACTAAGACTTATATACCACTTCACAGTGTTTTACAGCCCTTCCTAAGTGGTTAACAGAGTCAGCATATTGCCCCCAACAATCTGGATCCTCATTTTACCCACCTTGGGAGGATGGAAGGCTGAGTCAACCTTGAGCCTGGTGAGATTTGAACTGCCAAATTGCAGGCAGTCGGCAGTCAGCAGAAGTAACTTGCAGTACTGCACTCTAACCACTGTGCCTCCTCTTTCCTTAATTTCATCTAGTATCATATGCATTTTTCTTGGGATTTTGTTTTCCACCATGAGAGGTTGCCATGGGAGATTACATTGAATAAAATAACTTCTTATGGCAACTTTGCAGGCATCCCAAATCAAATTCCATATAAACAAAAATTCATTTAATGTCTTTTTGGAAATTTCTACAACCCCTTCTGTTTTCAAACATTTCTTCATTTAGCCTCCACGAAAAAGAGGAAAACAATTTGTTTAGTATTACATTAGCTGTATTATAATTTTTTAAATAGAATATCTCAAAGACTTCTGTACATCAACTATTAAACAGCATATGAATATAGATGTAGAATATTGCAAAATCTGAGCCAACGGTAAATAGATTTCATCATTAATTTAGCTGGTGGGGAAAACTGCCTGTTCTCTATAAATGACAAAAGTCATGAAACCAATGTTTAACGTGTAAAATAAAAGTTTTTTTAATTTTTTAATTTTTTTAATGATCTTCCAATTATTGTCTTAGCATTCCCTCCAAAATCAATGTAACCAAAGTTAATTAAAAACAGTCGAATGCCACGTTTTTGGAACATAATTCAACATTAGGTTAATCTCTTCATCATTGAAAAAATTCCACACCAGTGAAGAATGTAAGTGTCGCATTTGTTCTTTGCAGATGCTGAACAGTGTGTGAGATGCCCTGAGGACCAGCGAGCAAACAAAGAGCGAATTCAGTGTGTTCCTAAGGTGATAGTCTTCCTATCCTACACAGGAGATCTGGGGATCATCCTTATTTCTGTTGCTTTATTTTTCTCTTTGAGTACTGGCTTTGTTTTAAGCATATTTATTAAGCACCTGGACACTCCAGTAGTCAAAGCCAACAACCGGGACCTGTCCTACCTGCTCCTCATTTCCCTCCTGCTGTCCTTCTTGTCTACCTTCCTCTTCATTGGACAGCCAAGAAGAGAAACCTGCCTTCTACGACAATCAGCCTTCAGCATCATTTTCTCTGTGGCTGTCTCTTCTCTCTTGGCCAAAACCATTATGGTGGTGCTGGCCTTCCTGGCCACCAAGCCAGGAAATAGTGTGAGGAAATGGCTGGGGAAGCTTTTAGGGAACTTAATTGTCCTTTCATGTTCTATTGTCCAAATTATGATCTGCGCTATCTGGTTGGGAACTGCTCCCCCCTTCCCAGAGTCAGATATGCATTCCCAGGCAGGAGAGATTGTGCTGCAGTGCAACGAAGGCTCATTCATCATGTTTTACACTGCACTTTGCTATATGGGCTTCCTGGCAGCTGTCTGCTTGGTGGTGGCATTCCTGGCCCGGAGGTTGCCTGGAGCCTTCAATGAAGCCAAGCTGATCACCTTTAGCATGCTGGTCTTCTGCAGCGTTTGGATCTCCTTTGTGCCCACCTACCTCAGCACCAAGGGCAAGTACATGATAGCCGTGCAGGTCTTCTCCATCTTGGCCTCCAGTGCTGGACTGCTGGGTTGCATCTTTTTCCCCAAGTGCTACATTATCCTTTTTCGACCTGATTTGAATAGAAAGGAGCAGCTGATTCTTAAAAACAAAACAGAAATGTGATTTTTAATGTGCACAGTTTCTCAAGCACCAGGATACCCATTTGCTTATTTCTGTTCCCCAAGACAAATGCTTAGATCTAATGTGATGATTTCCTTGGGAAGCTCAATCTATTTGCTTTAGACTTCCCTTCTAATAACACACAATTTGTTAAAAGATCTCTTCTTTTAAAGGTGTAGTAGAATCTGAACTTAACTTTTTAAACAACAACCACAAAAGATTTTAACACACAGTATAAATAAATAAAAACAAATCCTTTTGCAAAATCAAGCTCTCGATGTTTTGTACTGCAGTGGGTCAACTTGCTGTTTTCTGAATGTCTTTTTTCACTATGTCAAAAGATTAGAAGATATTGATAGTAAACTTCAATATTGTAAATTGAATGATGTAAGTGACTCCAAGAACACAGAGAACTACTCTAAACATGAACCACAACAGACTTTTGCATCTCAATTAGGGACCTTCAAAAGGTTGATTGCAATGTGACCTAAGTGTGTAAATTTCAACTGAGCTACATTTCAAACATTACACAGTTCGACCCAATGGAGCATTATTCTATGTCTGCTGCTAAAATTTAGCAATGCTCTATTACTATTGACCATTGTCTACTTTCCACCTTCTAGGTTCCAATTTAACAATTTTTGGAACAAATTTGAAGGATATATAAATACGCTTATAGCAGGGGTATCAAACTTGCATTGTCACATCATCATGTGATGTATCATGACTTTTCCCCCTTTCGCTAAACTGGGGGGTGGGCGTGGCCAGCACGTGATGCATCCTGCCTGCAGACCGTAAGTTTAACACTCCTGGCTTATAGTTAATAAAAATTTCTGGTGTCTTAAATGCAAAGGGGGCATGTAAACAATAAGAACCTTTTTATTCAGTTCTACCAATACTCTCCATAACTAGTTACAATTTCCCCTTTATCAGCTAGGAAATCTAAAGGTTCAAAAAAGTATCAGAAGGGGTTATGGTTATTGTTATGTATTGAATGTAAATAGTAGTGTTAAGCCCTGTTAAAGTGAAACTAACATTTAGATGACCCTAACTGTTTTGGAGGAAAACTTAGAACGTTTATATTTGGGTTGGTTTTTCAAGCATTTTGATTGGTTAAGGCCCTGTGGGCCTGGAGTATAAATTAAGGCATTTGCCTGCTATTCCTCAGTTCCAGTTTGAGTCAATAAATGCTGTTGTAGCTATGCTGGTCTAGTTCTTGCCTACTGAAGCGCACTACACAATAGTTATCAATAACAATTAACTAACCAAAATTATATTTATTGGATGGGTCCATCAATAGCAATTTTCTTGGTGAATTCTCCCACTGGTTTAGCTAAAGACCTTCCTGGATTAATCACATATGACCTTGAGGAAAGTGAAGAAGAGATGGTAGCTAGGATCTCATAGAATAGACAGAGGAGCAGCTAGTGGCTTAATAATCAGAGAAAGAAACTTGAGAAGGATCCAGCGTAATGAAGGGAACAATTAAAAGTGGCTGCAGGAAGGTTGTACTTTCTGATTCGCAAGATTTTGTTAATGGACCCTTACAATAAAGTAGAATTAGGTCACCTAGTCTTGTTTCCCATCTAGTGTATCTGGGATGGCTGATGTTCTGGGGGGAGAAAAGACAGCTATCTATGCTTGCACAATATGAGAAGTCATAAACCATGATTAGAAATTGCTTAGCTGTAAGAAAATTTGAGCAACCAACAAAGAAGGAAACCATAGTATGATTTCACATGTCATTGGAATCCAACAATTCCATTTTGATGTGAGACTTGCATTGGACTTGGGTTTAGCTGACAACTTGTATTTACTGATAGCCATATTAGATTGTAGTGAGAATCACTTAAAAGGTGACAAATTGAGATGTTGTATCCAAACACAGGAAATAAATGTTATGTATATAGTTTTGGAGGGAGATTTAAACAACAATAGGTCACTTGTGATTGGTCAGCTCCCTGGCCGGCAAGATATATAAAGGGAACTGTTTGCCTGTAATCTTTGCTGAAGTCTCATGCTACATTAAAGAGCTGTTGTCACTACCTTGCTTCTGCCTCCTCAATTGCCCAACTTAACATTGGTGACGAAGGTGGGATGGAGGCACTGAGAAGCAAGCCGAAAAAGAGCTACCAACAGCGGATTCAGCCAGGCTGACGAGCCAGTACATAGCAGGACTTCCACGATGTCTGCATATATACCGCCAAAGACTTTCAACCCGGCCAGAGAGAAGTGGGGATCGTACATGATCCAGTTCGAGTGCTCCCTGGAAGCTAACGACATTCAGGGCCTCCCCAGCAACCGAAAGAGAGCCCTCTTCCTGAGCCACTGCTGACTGGAGGTCTTCGACATGGCTGAGTCACTTTCGGAACCGACTCTGGTCCAGACCATATCATGGGAAGTGCTACAAGCCACGCTTAAATCACATTACACCCCGGTACCATCTAAGTTCGTGCAGCCCTATGAGTTCCGGCAACGAGTACAGCAAGAGGGAGAGCCGATCAGCGCATACATGGTTGCCCTGCATAAGGCTGCGACGCACTGCGAATAGCGAGACCTCGATGAAGTGCTCCTAGAGCAACTAGTCTGTGGTGTTAGAGATATACACCTACAGAGAAGGTTGCTCGCAAGGCCTAACCTGACTCTGCCGAGCGTCCTAGACGAAGCAAGGGCACACGAATCATCCACCAAGGCTGCGAAGACCCTGCAATGACCAGCCACTCACAAGGAACCCTGAGGTTGACACCGGTACACCAAGAGGCCACCCAGACCGGCAGCGAGGAAGAGTCGGACGAGGACGTCTTCCAAACCAAAAGACAGACATGGGAGCAGAGAGAGCGCTGCGGGAGCTGCTCAAGCTGCGGAGAGGCACACCAGAGACAGACCTTTAAGTTCAGGGATGCCATCTGCAGACGCTGCAAAAAGAAGGGGCATTTGGCGAGAGTCTGCCGGGAAAGCCTACCAGTCAGCCACAAGCCCTGGGACAGCTTCAGCCAGTCAGAGCCAGCGCGACACAAGCAAACAAATAAAGATGGTGACCAAAGGAAAAGGCGTGAATTTCAAAACCGCGAGACCTGCAGCACCAGTATCGGCCAGGCCAGCGTGACCATCGAAAAGAAGGTCCACACCACGGTCAAGATCGAAGGACAACCCTGTGAGATGGAGATCGACACCGGGTCATCCCTGTCCATCATGTCCTGGGCCACCCTGAAAACTGTCCTGCCCAGCATCAAAAAGAGTGAGCTGCAGACCCAGCGGATTCGGCTTTGAGACTACCAGGGGAACCTCATCCCTGTGGAAGGAGTGGGCACATTCCAGTACGTGGGGATCCCTATTTCCTTTAATCTAGACCCTAACGTACTCTGATCAGACTAAAGGCTAGACGAGTGCCCTTTGCGCTCAAGCCCAAAATTGACTTGGAATTGGACAAACTAATCAAGCAAGGGGTGTTAGTTCCAGTGGACCACGCCAAGTGGGAGATCCCAATAGTGATCCCGGTCAAGCCAGATGGGTCTGTGCGCATCTGCTCAGACCACAAATGCATGTTAAATAAGGCTCTTCAGCAGAGCGCTTACCCCGTCCCAATCGTGCATCACTTACACCATTCGCTGGGTCCTGGCAAGATCTTAGCAAAACTTGATCTTGCGCAGGTGTACCAGCAACTACCGGTAGATGGCGCTACCGCTGAGGCACAGACTATAGTAACTCACAGAGATGCCTTCAAATGCACCAGGCTGCAATTTGAGTCAGCATAGCCCCCGGACTATTTCAAAGTACTATGGAACGTCTGTTACAGGGACTGCCAGGGGTGGTGCCCTACTTTGATGATGTCCTCATTAGCACAAAAGACGAGAAGCAGCTAGGGGACAGACTCAGACGAATATTGGGGAAATTCAGGGATGCTGGACTCCGTGTAAAAAGGAACAAATGCATGATCGCAGTTCCCTCTGTGGAGTTTCTCGGGTACCGGGTGGACGGAACGGGCATACACCCCACCGAGAGCAAAATAAGGGCCATCCAAAATGCGCCCACACCAAAAAACAAATCAGCACTACAGGCTTTCTTGGGTTGCTGAACCCCTACACCGATTATTGGCCAAGAATGCACCTTGGGTCTGGGGGAAAGCTGAAACTGCCGCATTCAACGCAGTGAAAAAACTCTTATCCACGGACAGTTTCTTAATTCAATATAATGCAATGCTACCGCTTGTCCTAGTATGCGATGCATCCCCTTTTGGCATGGGAGCCGTCTTGAGCCATAGACTACCGAATGGGCTAGAGGCACCCATCACCTACTACTCACGAACCCTGACCAGTGCAGAATTGAATTACAGCCAGCTGGACAGAGAAGCCCTCGCAGCCGTCTCAGGGGTCAAAAAATTTCATGAAGACCTATTCAGATGAAATTTTGAGCTGGTCACAGACCATCGACCTCTTTTGGGCCTCCTGGCTGGGGATCGGCCCACCCCCGCTGCCTTGTCTCCATGCATGACACAGTGGACCATCTTCCTGGCAGCTTACTCCTACCGACTTGTCCACTGACCGGGATTGAGTTTGGGACACGCTGATGCCCTCAGCAGCTGTCCACTACCAGACCTCCTAGAAGACCCAACCCCGGATCAATAAGTTCTCCTTATTTAATGTCTTTCAACTAGATTGTTAATTCCATCGACCATGTTAGGGTAACATCAAGTCCTGCTTCCAACAGTATATTCAGTATCTTCAATTACCACCTGCCCCCATCATTAATAAGTATTTCTGTATATATATAACCCCCCCCCCCGAGTGACTTTATATTTATATTCCATATGGTATCTTCTGTAACGTCTTTTATCTAGATTATTAATTCCAACAACCACGTTAGGGTAACAGCCAGATCATCTGCATGCCCCAATTCCATAGTTCTCTTGCCTTATAGCTCAACATATACGTAATCCATTTTTCAGAGAGTCCAAAATAGAAAGTTCCAATCCGCTCAATCACAGGCCATCTTCCACATCCCAAAAACACCAGCACTGCAGAGATCTGTTATTCTTCTCAAAATAGTATAAGTCTGTAATTTGCCTCAGCTATATTTTCATGTATCAGCCTTCTATAAATCCCACTTATTATATTTAATCGTCTCTTAAATAACTGGCATTAATCTGTTGGCTAAAAAAGAATTGTAGTTTAAAAATTTTTAGTTTTGTAGAACCTGCTTCTTCTTTTCTTAACTTGTTGTGGTTTAGATCTCCACCCTGGTTGTCTTTCTAGGACTTGTATATCAGCTGATTGAATTACATGCTGGTTTTTAACTTGATAAGACATTGAATCGAAATCCAAAGCCGCCTCTCTTGTATTTATAGGTGATCCAGCTATAGTCTCTGAAGGAGAATCCAAAAGCGGCTCATCCAAAAAGCCCTCTATAACTTGTCGTTTTTCCATTACCTCCATCTCCATCTGCTTAGCCTGAGTTTCAATCTCTTATTCATTTTGCTTTTCTTTATCCTCCTTCTGTATTCCTGACACTGATGACATACGTGGAGATGTTGGGCCCATTTTAAAAACCTTGTAGTAAAATTCTTCCGCTTTTTCAACAGTGTTTAATTGATATCTTTCTCCTTGATATCTCAATATTATATCAACTGGAGCATCCCACCTAAATGGGATGTTTTGTTTCTTTAGCGCAGTCACCAAAAATCCAAAGTCCTTTCTATCTTTTAACATCTTGGACGGCAACTCTTTATATATCCAGATCTTCATTCCATTCATTTCTAAAGTGGAGTTAAAAGACTTTTGCACAATATCATTTCTTATTCCTTTATCAGTAAAATAAACCACCACATCTCTAGGTAATTGTCTTTGCTTTGCCACCCAAGAATTTACTCTGTAGACCTTATCAATCTTACAGAATTGATTCAGAGCTGACCTTTAAAATAACAGCCAAAACTTCAGCAGACATCTTTCTCAAGTCCTCTTTGTTATTTTCCTGTATTCCCCTCATTCTGATCGCAAATTTCATGGATCTGAATTGCATCATTGTAACTTCATTTTCAAACCTTTGCTTTATATTATCTACATTGTAAATCTTGTGATCAGCTTCCTTTATTTTAGACTCTACTTCTGAGCTATTTTCTTGAATCATTGTCAAATCATTTTCAATTCTTTGTATTTTATTATCCAGATTATGAATCTTATAATCAGCTTCCTTCATTTTAGACTCTATTTCTAAATTGATATCTTTATCCATCTGTACAATTACTTCTGAAAAGCTTTTCAAAGCTGTTACAATGTAGCGCTTCAGGTTATCATACTTTTGTTGAACCAACTCTTTAATTTCCTGTCTAAATTTTTCAAGATTCTGGTTCATAATCTCATCATGTCTTGCCAACTCCTCCACAACAAATTCCTTTAAATCTTTAAAACCATTCTTCTGCATCTGCAAGCTCAAAAATTGTTCTTGTGATTTATAAATGGGGGAGCCCCCCCCCCCACAGCTTGGTTGTCTGGCTTTGTCAGTTTTAACGCCATCCTGCCACACAAACAGACTCTTTTTAAAGAAAAAGTCTTCTCTCCACACAATATCAATATCAAGTCTCTAAGAAGGAAGAAGCATGAAACAGAAATTTTTCTCTTCTCTTGTAGCCAGCACTATTGCTTCAAATACTTTGTAACATATTAAGCCATTCAAACGGAAAGACTTTCGCTTTCAGCTTTCTTCTCAAGCCTCAGCCAGCCTCCATTTTAAACTTTTTTCCCCCTTTTCACTCTTTCTTCATTCTTAAAATCAATCATAGGGTTGTTACAAATACTTGCGATTTGGAGCCCCAAATCCGGATTTCATCCTGCTTATTCAAGCAATCTGTTAGTTTTCGCTGATTAGGTTGGTCACATTGTCTAGCTCTGCAAGGCGCAGAGTTCTCCCGAAGCCCGGAGCAGCGGCGAGCTGGATAGGGAGCCTCATCCTGCTTCCTCCCCAAGAGTAAAAAAAAAAACTCTGGGGCCTTCGCAGAGGGCTCTACCTGCTCTCGCCAGCTCTCCTCACATTTCCTTAAAGAAACAGAGTTTTTCGAGCCGCCTCTCAGCTGTAAGGGCGGCTCTTTAATGGCGGCGGGGGTGGCGGTCCCAAAAGACCGTCTAGCGATGACGGAAGCCAAACCGGAAGCCCCTATTACAGACATTACAGAAGATACTATATGGAATACAAATTTAAAGTCATTTGAGGGTTTTATTTATATATGGAAATATCTTTTAGTGATACGGGCAGAAGAATAAAGATATTAAATATATTATGTATGGTAGACCTGTAGGAAAGTGGGTGAAACAAAATTGATATGGTACAAGGTGATAGGTAACG